GATAGGACATTTCCCCCCCCTCCCTCATGCTTATACTTCCTTCTTTCTAATAAAACAGATAAGATGATATCATATATAAAATAAGAATGAAAAAGGTTATTTATTCAAGATCTAATCAAGATTAAGGGATTTTTCTCAGCAATCTAATTTAATCATGTCTTTCATATTTTTTTCTGTCCATAAAAGTCGTCTTCGTACTTCCACGCTATAAACCCGATACTGCAGTTAAGCTACAATTTATTGCTCCATTCTACCTAAACATTATATATGACAGAGATGGAAATTTATGAATAAGTATGAAAGAGTTGAACAATGTATTTAGTAGTTTAACAATCTCATTTATTGAAACAAAACTTGCAAGTAGGGTTTCCACCGGAATTCCGGGTTACGGTTTATGTACGGAAATGATCCGGAAATTTTTTCCATTTCCATTATGGAAAAGGTTACGGAAAACCGGAATTCCGGAACGATTTCTGGAACGATTTTTTTTCCGTAAAACGGAAATTTCCGGAACGTTGTTCCGGAATTACGGATTGTTACGGAATTCCGGTTTCCGGAACATTTGGTACCACCCCCGGCCAGATAGGGTTAAACATGTTTAGCTTAAAACAAGTTTAAATTAAACTGCTTTAAAAAGTTCTATTTCAGGAGAACAGTATAACTAGCTTTTAAAACCCAATTTCAATTATCAATTTATATTGGTCCAATTGGATCATATGAAAACACAAAATATTAAATTGAAGTCCGCTTTTGCTTGATCTTTGACAAAACTCCAATTTCAAATCATTAAGCAAAGTATCTAATCATCTTAAAAATAAAATATTCATTTAATGCCTCATTTTCTTGAATATGACTTATCAAATAAAAGATTTCCAAGATGTATACAGAGTGTTTGAACTTATTCTTTACAGGTTTAATATTCCCTGTATACATAACAATATTTTTTTGAGCAATGACAAAATCACCAAATCGCCAAATCCAGCAGACAACCAATTTTCTTCGTTAAGGGTCTCCAATGATCAAAGCAACACTTCCTATCCTTGCAGGCTAAACTCCATTCTAAACTTGTCTGAAGTCGTCAAATCCTTTGCTCTTGAACAAAAATCCATCCCATTTAAACAAAAGTTGGTTTACGGCCAATCTTGTCCAAAAATGGGGTTTATCTGGCACGGTTTAGCACTATTTAAAAATCCACCATGGCTAAAAAACTTAAAATCTTTATCTAAAATTTTTGTTTTGATGAACACGTAGATGACCGCTAGTGTGCTAATAAAGGACTAGCAACGTTCACGGTTCTTTAAGGTTAAGAGGAGTCATCATGAAAATTGTGTTAAAAATCATGATTGTTAAGAAAAAAAGGGTTATTCGATTTTTACATAAATTACTTTGATAGAATGCCTTGAAACAACGTGTATTAGTACCAATTGACCTCTAGACAGTAGACACAGCATTTGATCTGCGACAGATTTGTTCTTTTATTTTTGCCGAATTTTGCGACGCCCTTGTGTACTATGTACATGTGTGTAGAGTACATTGTGAAACCTTGAAGTGAGATGTTTTCCAAATCAGATTGTGTATGATTACGTACATGGTATAGCCGGTCATGGATAAAATAAATTCCAGACGGATCTTCAAGTGTAATAATTTGAACTCACAGAAAACATATATGATCCTCAAATAAAATATTAATCGGTGAAATATAAGGCTAAAAATGTACAATCTATATAATTAAGCTCTTCGCTCACAGCTGTGTATATATATGTTAGCTATAGCTGGCCAAACGGCTGGACCAAATTGGCTGAGTTTTTTTTTAGAAACCCATGAGTATCCTGGTAGTAACTTAGGCTTAAAAAATCCGATATTTTTTCTTCTTTAAAGATTGGAATTTTTCGAGTGTTTTTAAAATTACACGGGCAACGACGGCCATTTTAACTAGTATATATGATAAAGCTCTTCCCATCTACAGCGGGAAAAACGGCCTGACCAAATTGGCTAGGTTTTTTTAGGGAACTTTTGGGTACCGGGAGAGTGACAAAGATTAAAAAATTTGGGATTTTTTAAAAGTCCGTGGCGCTTCAGCTTAATTACGATTTGTAATACCAATAGCGGGTAAACGGCTGGAGTAACTATGCATATGAATAATAGTATGAACCTACGCAAATCCGGGTGCTTCCGCTGGTAGTATATTATAATCATTTTAAGTTTAAGTTATGAAAAATAAATTAAAAAGTCGTCTTCATTGGATCGTTTTAATCGCCTACCACTGTTTATACAAATATATATAGTTTTATTATATATATATATATATGAATTCCCCAAGTCCCAAGGTGAAATGCAAATATATTGGCGACCTCCAGGGTATTGTGTGCAAGATTACTAAATCTTTGCTAATCTGATCCAAAATTTGCAAATATTTTCTTAACATCTTACTCTCACACCCTAACCGTACGCATCTTCTAAATATATCATTCTATCTATCCATCCCCCTCTATATCTGTCTATATATCCATCTATCTATCCCACTCATATCAGTCTATCTATCTATCTATCCGACTCATATCTGTCGGTCTATTTATCTATCTCACTCATATCTGTCTCTCTGTTTATCTATCTATTTATCTATCTATCTATCTAGCTATCCCACTCATATCTGTCTCTCGTTATCTATCTATCTATCCGAGTCGTATCTGTCCATCTATCTATCTATCCCACTCATTTCTGTCTCTCTCTCTATCTATCTATCTATCCACTCATACTTGTCAATCTATCTATCCAACCATATATCAATCTATATCTCTATTTGTCTATATATCTATCCATCTTTCCAACCATATATATATCTATCTTTCTATCTATATCAATATTTCTGTCTATCTATCTATCTTTCTATGAATCTGTCTATTTATTTATCTATAAATTTATCTACCTACCTATCACACTCTATATCTGTTTGTCTATCTATCTTTCTATCTATCTTCTCTCTTTAATCTATATATCATCCATCTTTCTATCTATTTATCTATCTAAACTTTTTTGTAGTCCCAGAAATGCACATTTTAAAATTTGTTTTTAGCTTTAGCTTTTTGTCCTGATTGCCAATTATCACCCCTTTGGTGTAGTTATTAGTGTCATGAGTATTAATTACCACCCCTTTGGTGGATTAATTAGTGTCCTAAGTGTTAAATACCACCCCTTTGGTGGAGTTATTAGTGTCATGAGTGTTAATTACCACCCCTTTTATGGATTAATTAGTGTCCCAAGTGTTAATTACCATCCCTTTGATGGATTAATTAGTGTCCTAAGTGTTAATTACCACCCCTTTGGTGGAGTTATTAGTGTCATGAGTGTTAATTACCACCCCTTTGATGGATTAATTAGTGTCCTAAGTGTTAATTACCACCCCTTTGGTGGAGTTATTAGTGTCCTGAGTGTTAATAAACATCTCTTTGATGGAATAATTAGTGTGCCAAGTATTAATTACCATCCCTCCGGTGGGGTAATTAGTGTCTTGAGTGTTTATTACCATCCCTCCAGTGGAATAATTAGTGTCCTGAGTGTCAATGATTATCCCTATGATAGAGTGATTAGTGTCGTGAGTTTTTATATCAATCCCTCCGATGGAGTAAATAGTATTAATTACCATTCCTCCTATGTTGTAATGAGTGTTAATTATCATCCCTCAAGTGGAGTAATTAGTGTCAGCTGAGTGTCAATGATCATTCCTCCGATGGAGTAATTAGTGTTCTGAGTGTTAATTATAATCTATTTTGTGGAGTAATTAGTATTCTGACTGTTAATAACCATCCCTCTGATGTATTAATGAGTGTCCTGAGTGTTAATTATCTTTCCTGTGGTTGAGTCCTGAGTGTTAATTAAAATACCTCCGGTGGAGTAATTAATGCCCTGAGTGTTAATTACCATCCCTCCTATGGAATTATTAGCATTCAATAAAGAATATTAATTCTCTCGGTTGGAAATAAATTCCTCCGGTGGCCTCCACCCAGTGGACGGGACCGAATATGCTGCTGCAAACTTCAATCTCTCCTGTTTAATAAATTTAGTTTGCTTCTATAAAATTGGATTGGCAATAAAAAAAATGTTTAAGGTGGAATTACTACTAATTACTACTCAGGAATATGCCGAGAATATGCTGAGGAATTCTTGAGAATTCTCTTTTCTCTAGAAGTAAGGAGAAATTCTCCGGAATTGGTTCCAAAAATTCTTTGAAATTCTTCAGAATTTGTTACAAGAAATTATATATATATATAGAAAGGACGGAAACGTACACCTGTTAATTTGTATCACCAGTATTCCAGGATATTTAAACACAGGAAGAATAATCAAATATTAAATATTTCAAAAGTTTCAACATTTCTCAAATATGAAAATCTCTAGAATGTTAAACACTGAAACTTTAACAATGGAAAAAAAGCTTCAAATAAAGAAAGTTCGATTTTTTAGTCTATGTTAGCCCCTGCTATCTAGGGTACCCATGAGTTCCCTCAAAAAATGGCAGAAAATTTGGTTCAGCCGTTTGAAAGATAGCTAACGAGCGAAGATCTTCATTATTTATAGATCATCTAACATTTCTAGAACATCAAACATTTTTAAAGTATCAAACATTTCTAGAATATCAAACATTTCTATAGAATATCAAGCATTCCTAGAATATTAAACATTTCTAGAATATCAAATATTTTTTTATTTGTTGAAACATACAAATTATCTTATATCAGTTAATGTTTTCACTTTTTATATTTTTCGAGAATATTACGATTATTTAATACCTCCCCCCCCTCCCCCCTTCAACCCACTCCTTTCGCAAAAATATCAGAGTCAAATTGTATTTTATAAAGCAGTGATATTTGATTCTCAAGATTCACAGTTCTAACTTCACACAGTGCTCACATCAATAATACTAAAATGAAAACCAATAAAATATCTAAAGTTAAATAAAAAGAATCGCGTAAAGCTAATCAAAACAAGAAACTTTTTGATATTTTGATCTCTCTTTTGAAATCCGTTCAAAACAGTATAACCTGACATTATTTACTTAAATATTTAAAAAAGTATAAAAAAGATAAAACTAAAAATCAACATTTAATAATTAAAAAGTGGTTATTTTAACCAGTACCTCTAGTCTACCGTGGAAGAGATGCAAAAAGACAGTTTTATGACAAATTTTTAAAATTCGTTTAAGAATATCTTTATATTTCCAAACATGAGTAATTCATTAGTGTGGCTCAGCCCACGTTTTCAATAATGAATAATATTCATAAAACAGGACAGCAATCTATATATAAATTTAGCTTGTCTGTTTGTTTATAACGGATAAACGTCGAAATGGCTGAATCGATCGGGCCAAATTTTTTTTGTGGAACCTCACATGATCCTGTAGGGAAGGTTTAGGAATGGTAACAATTGAAAAATGAGCTTGTAAAAAATTGTATTTTTTAAGAATCAACGAAAAAAATGATAAAAGAGCAACAATTAAAAGTTAAAATCAAAGATGGGCTTGAAAGCCTAGTAATTATTACTTCTTTAGATTAAATTATATAACTCATTTTTTCATGTAGCATACCCCGCCGGCTTTACGGTCAACATACCCTGCCGGCTTTACGGTCAACATACCCCGCCGGCTTTACGGTAAACATACCCCGCCGGATTTACGGTCAACATACCCCGCCGGCTTTACGGTCATACTTTTCTTTCAGAATCGAACTAGAATTTAAATCTAATTTTGCACAACAATAAAAACTATTTTTCCTCTGAAGTTAAAGAAAATTTATTACATCAAAGATGCCAAAGGTTTGTGATTTTCAAAAATTTAAATCTATTTGAATAAATTCTACAAAAGCATAATTGTCAAATAAAAGAAATGAGTTTTAGCCGCAAACTTTGGTTTTCCAATCTACATATCTTTGCAACCCAATGCCGTAGACCTTAGATATCTTGAAACTATGAATTCTGTTGGATTAAAACGACTGATTTTTTAAATATCAAAGGTTTAAACCATCTGGTTGATAAGATTAGAACATTTGGGTTTGTGACAAAAACTCAATTTTTAGTCAATACAAACTCAAGAATTTGAGTAAAAGAAGTTCAAACACTTTTCTTTTTTATATTTTTTAGAAAAGAATTCCCTTTCATCCCAAATCCAATTCCAGGTAATTTTTCCACATATATATGGGTGGGTGGGGGATGAAAGGATCATGAAATTAATAGAAATAAAAAATGCTCTGGACAGTATATACAGGAAATATAGACAACCTGTATTTTACTGTTAATATGTTTAACCAAGGACCGAATTTAATAAATTTGAGCTACGTCGCTTAACCTCAGTTAAGAAATAGTAAGTAAAAAAAAAAATTATTTTAATGCATAGGTTAATGTATATGTAGTACCGAGTACAACCTTAAAAATCCCGGTCAGCGAATAAAAAATAATCTTAAGACTCTCAACAACTTTTTGTTATTTAAGTTGCAGCTCTATATTTTTGTATGTAAGGCCCTTGAAAAATGGATATATATGGGTCACATCTTTACTACTTTTTCAAACATTCCTAGCACCTATAAACCTTTAAAGTTAGCGTTATAATTTTTTCAATATGCTGGCCTTGACACATGCATTGCAACCGTATACCTTTACTACAATGCCTTTGTCCTTGGGAGGGACAACAAAATCTCTTTTAAAAATGATTAATCCTTATTTGTAGAGGCCTCAGCAACACAAGAACTAAGCCTTATGTTTCCTGGATGTTGGCTTGTAGCACAAATTCAACACAGGTTAGCACGTCAAACTAATCTAAATTGCACGTCAAACTAAACTAAATTGCACGTCAAACTAAACTAAATTGCACGTCAAGTTAAAATAAATTGCACCTCAAACTAATCTAAATTGCACGTCAAACTAATCTAAATTGCACGTCAAACTAATCTAAATTGCACGTCAAAATAATCTAAATTGCACGTCAAAATAATCTAAATTGCACGTCAAACTAATCTAAATTGCACGTCAAGCTAATCTAAATTGCACGTCAAACTAAACTAAATTGCACGTCAAACTAAACTAAATTGCACGTCAAACTAATCTAAATTGCACGTCAAGCTAATCTGAATTGCACGTCAAACTAAACTAAATTGCAAGTCAAACTAATCTAAATTGCACGTCAAACTTATCTAAATTGCACGTCAAACAAATCTAAATTGCACGTCAAACTAATCTAAATTGCACGTCAAACTAATCCAAATTGCACGTCAAGCTAATCTAAATTGCACGTCAAACTAAACTAAATTGAACGTCAAACTAATCTAAATTGCACGTAAGATTAAATTCTTATGTGGTATTCGTAGACCAAATTGAAATCTCTGTAAAACCGACAAAAAAACGTTGATCAAATTTTTTTAAATGATGTTTATTTTGTTATAACGAACATATTTTTCTAATACAACCGGATTTTGCCTCATCGACCTGCTCCACACATTTCCTATTGGCAGAGCAGGCACTGACGGCTATTGCGCGCGGCATATCATTAAATAGTCTGGTGATTTCAACGATAAGGGACTGTGTTGTGTTGTAAGGGGTTCTATTGACATCCTTCTTGACCCAGGACTAAACAAAACAATCGAGGGGATTAAAACCTGTGAAGCTGAGGGGCTACAAGTTCGTGTCTCAGGCATGCTTCATATTCGCCCTGCACCCCATCATCCTTGATCTTCACTACATCGCTAATAATTAGTAAAAAAGTAAAAAATTATTTATTTATGAAATTTTGCACTTTTGGTGGATGTAAGATTTGTACCATATCTCCTCCTTCACAATATTCTTCGCCAGCCAATCGATATTGCCCAGCAACCTCTCAATCTGCCTGAAGGACGTGCCCAAGTAGTCATCGATCATGTTTAGCACGCTATCGACGATTTCCTGGCTGTCAGTCGCTACGCACTGATTTGTTCCCCCTTTATGCAAGCAAAATTCTCTAGCTGGCCTCTATCATTAATTAATCGCCGGAATTTAGCTTGAATTTTTAAAACATATGTGCTTGGAGAGTTCCGTGCTTGCCTAAATCTCCCTGCTAGTCTTTCCGGCGCGATATAGGGTTACGATGACCCCTCTATTTATCGGATCGGATCAGCTAATTAATATACAAATATGTACAATGGTAAAAACGACATTTCAAAAACTCATTTCCTTCATAACTAAAAGTTGATTTTAATTTTGTCTACGAATATCGCACCCACCCTGTTTAACCTGTTTAACCACCCTGTTTAACCTGTTTAACCACCATGTTTAATCTTGAAGAGCTATTGAGAAGATCAACTTTGTTTAAAATGTGCCCATGATATTTTTGCTTCTCTCATACTTGTGCTAAAACTGTTGGAGCTATGAGGTCATAAAGTCGGAACATTATAAATGTCACTTAATTTGGCCTTCTCCTCAAGCTTCTGCCATGTTCGCAGTATTGTTGATATCAGTTTACAACCCTATCTTCACCAACTGCTCTCTATCCTTATTTAAAAAAAACTCAATGATTTGGCAAGTTATCCAAAGGTTACGAACTCTCACGCAAGAATCGATACGAGCTTTTCCAACTACTTCGAAAAAACTGAAGCTTAAAACAAGTACTTTTATAGTTCCTAAATGTTCATTCTACATGGCAGGCTGTAAAAATAAAGGTGTAAGTGAGGGAGTGCGGTAAATGAAAAGCCTACATTTTGGGATACTTGGTGCAGTTTTTCACAACAATCTGGATTTGTGTGATGAGTCATATTGAAAAGACGAAATTTGAAGAATTTGAAGAAATCTGCTAACAAATTCATAAAGAATAAGAAATTCATTATAAGGATGATAAAAAAATTGTTGACTCTTACATTGTTTTACTGACAAATTTCTATTGAGAAATGTGTTCCTGACATCTAAGTAGTTTACTGTAGAAATTTCGTTACATTATTCTTTATCGTTATTGAATAAATTTTATAAAACCGATTCTCAAAATCATCCCTTCAAAATGGATTTTAACGATTAAATTTGCGCTCTAGCTGAAAAAATCATTTTCAAAGTATTAAACAAGAGCAACACCTTAAACAAAGACAAAGACAAAAACAGATTTTTTTACTTTTGACACGTTTAATTTCAGGAAATCAAATTTCGTTTAGAAACCGAACCAGATCTTGCTGTATTACAGGTAGTAATTTGGATCGTTAAGGACCGTTTTTTAATTTTTTTTTACAAAACTTCCAAAAGTTTGAAACAGTTAAAACAATTAACTAGCTTTAATTTATTTTTTTCTTCTAATAAACACAATTGTTTCGTTTTCATTTTTTTCTTATCCTGAACAAAACAAGAAGAAAACCGGCAACTGTCGGCCCATTACTCTCTGGAAATTCCGGTTTATTTTAAGTGCCGGACCGACTTTTAACCAGCTAGAGCAACCTGGCTGTACAGTACAATTACAGTTTCTGTAAGGCAAACCGAGACAGTACACTAAATGAATGATCTCCTTCTTGCGAAATGTATGTGCCTGAGAGCAAAACTTAAGAGAGTATCATTGAACGAAACTCCCGGGTTTCCTTTTTGGGGTCTTAACATTTGTGTAGATTTTAATTTATTCTAAGATATTCAGAAAAATGGAGAATATGAAGAAACTAAATAAAATATGGTTCATAATAAAAATATTGATTTTCACAAAAACTGCCTAACCCCATTCATGAAACCCGTGTTCCAAAACTGGTTTTCATAACGATACCCTGTCTTAAGTTTTGGGCTCTGATCCTTGGAGCTAGATCTCAGAGATAATTAAGTGAATGTTTAGGATGAACTGACGGGACAATCTTGTATCCATTGGATGGTTAAACATAACAATAAGGCATCCAAACATTGACAAACATTGCTAAAAAATGTAAAACATTGCTGAACATTACCGAACATTGAAAAACATTGCTAAACATTTGTAAAACATTGCTTTAACTGTGTCTACGCATTTCTAAACATTGCTAAACATTTCTAAACTTTGCCAAACATTTTTTAACATTTCTAAACATTTCTAAACATTGCCAAACATTGTTTAACATTTCTGAACATTTCTAAACATTGCCAAACATTACCTAACATTCCGATAAACATTAGAATAAACATATAATTTTTAAAGTAAATTATTTATTATTTATCATCAAAACAAAGATTACCAATGTTTTGAATAAGGAAATTGTTGACTTTTTAATAAAAGGTTTGAAAGTAAGGTAAATTTTGTCTAAAATAATAATACCAACTTAAAACGTTTAAGGTTCTTTTAGTTTCTTGGCTTCAATTATAAATCTGCAAATAGAAATAAAAGATTAAAAATATACAAACAACAAATTTTCAAAAAATATTTTTAAAATGCCATACAGGAGAGTTGCACAAAAAAGGGGTACAATTTTGCACCAGGCGCCGCAAATCACACTTTTTTGACTCACCCTGTATATCTATTGCTTCAACTAATAGCCCATTAATCTTTTCAGTCCAAATATTGTAAACAGAAGTGGCCAGACCCCACTACATATTGCTGCACTTTACGACAGGAAAGTTTAAACGGAGAGCTTCAAATTTTTTTAAGAGTGTTTACTTATACTATTATATAGGTTCTCAAACAAATGTTTGTAAAATAATTGATATATAAACTTTTACCATTCATATATTATAAAAGAAAGTTCAATAATGGAATAATGTAAAATGGCATTTTCCCGCCATAGCATAGAAACTCAAACTTTTGGCATGCTTAAGCGAGGAAAATTTTTATTCTTTACACCATTGCAGTTGGGATCAAGTTATAGATCACACAATTGGTGCTAAAAAGTGGTTTTATTCAATTTTTAAGATTCAGAAATTAAATAACAAAAATAAATGAAAATTACATGTTAGGCGTGAGTTGTACCAAATACTTATCTATAAACACCAAGCGGACATAACGGTGAGTTAAGGAAGTTTCTTGTTTCTTTACTTAACTATAAGTTTATAGTTTTTTAGTTTTAGTTTCCAGTTTCTCTACAACTCATAGTTTCTTGTTTCTTAACTTAACTCTTAAGTTTATAGTTTTTCAGTTTTAGTTTCCAGTTTCTTTGCAACTTTAAAGTTTCTTGTTTCTTTACTTAACTCTAAAGTTTAAAGTTGTTTTTGGCCACTCTGAAGTTTCCAGTTTTTTTCAACTCTTTAAAATTTCTTGTTTCTTTGCGGCTATAAAATTTCTTGTTTCTTAGCAACTCTAGTTTCTTTTTTCTTAGCAACTCTAGTTTCTTGTTTCTTAGCAACTCTAGTTTCTTCTTTCTTTGCAGCTCTAAAATTTCTTGTTTCTTAGCAACTCTAGTTTCTTATTTCTTTGCATCTGTAAAATTTCTTGTTTCTTAGCAACTCTAGTTTCTTTTTTCTTAGCAACTCTAGTTTCTTGTTTCTTAGCAACTCAAGTTTTTTTTCTTTCTTTTTTAGTCTAGTTTCTTGTTTCTTAGCAACTCTAGTTTCTTGTTTCTTTCCAACTCGTAGATTCTTGTTCCTTAGCAACTCCAGTTTCTTGTTTCTTAGCAACTCTAGTTTTCTTGTTTCTTGACAACACTAAAGATATTTTTAAATATCATCATTTTCATCATCTAATCTTATGAATATATTTTCAGATAAGAGATAATTCTGGTGAGTTTACATAAAATATTTATTATTATTCTCTTCTTTGGCAACAAACAACCTGACATATTATGGAAGGAGACATTTTAAACTATTCACCCACTGTCATGTTTCGTGGGACAACATGTAGTAACTATATATAAAACAATGACTACAAGATATGACTATATAGACCAAGGACTACAGATATAACTATATAGACCAAGGACTACAAGATATGACTATATTGTGTTTAGGTCGACTAGCTAGTAACTATATAGACCAAGGACTACAAGATATGACTATATAGACCAAGGACTACAAGATATAACTATATAGACCAAGGACTACAAGATATGACTATATTGTGTTTAGGTAGACTAGCTAGTAACTATATAGACAAATGACTACAAGATATGACTATATTGTGTTTAGGTAGACTAGCTAGTAACTATATAAAACAATGACTACAAGATATGACTATATAGACCAACGACTACAAGATATAACTATATAGACCAAGGACTACAAGATATGACTATATTGTGTTTAGGTAGACTAGCTAGTAACTATATAGACCAAGGAATACAAGATCTGACCGGCCCTGGTATTCTCACCTATGGATCAGATTCTAGAGGAATAAAACTCAGGAAATAAATTATTTTAAACATTTTTATCTGTAATTTTGGAGAAGGTACAAAACACATTACGTTTCATAATTTCAAATTTTCAAAAAATATATAAAAGTAAAAACGCCCTAAATTTTGATTTAAGGTCAAAAGAACCAAATTTTCAATTGTACTATTGATTTTGTTTGGAATCCGCCAATATGCTTTCATAATTCGCCATCTTTGTGAAGCAATGGCATTGTTAGTTGCAATTCAGTTCCTGCACAATTCATAAAACTGAAAAAGGAAAATTTCCTATGTATATACTAGGTTAGGAGTATTAAAATCAAATGAGTTTAGGGTGTAAGTCAACTGAGAAAAGGGCTTGCGCTTTAAATGTTCAATGATTTATTTAGTCTTGATATATTTTATATGTGTTCTTGCAAATTATTGCATTGAAAGTAGGATAAAATATCAAATGATAACTGAATAAAAATGTGATGCTTATCAAAATGTATACAATTATAAAAAAGTAGGCGTTATTAAATGGAAAAATGGAATTCAATTTTAATTTTAAACTGTATTGATATCAAAATTCATATTAACTATTTAAAACACTGTTTTTTTTGGTTCGCAGTGTTATAAATCTATTGGACAGAAATGTTCTTTTTATCGAGAAGGTTCAAACCTTTTTAAATTTAATTTTGTCCCGAGGTTTAGCCAGGAACAACATTAAAAAGGCGAGAACCTATAGAGATATAGAGAAAATTTAAGTCCAAAAACTTTATAGCACGTCGTGCCAAAATGATAGTGTTATAGGTAATTTTATGAAACGTGTGTGAACTTGTTTTATTTCGATGGCTATTTCTAGATCAAAAGCTTTAAAAACAAAGTCAAAATATGAAGTTGATTCCATTTTATTTTTATTTCAATAAAAACAATATTTTGGAAATTTCCAAATTATTTGGAGAAAATCCGGGAACCAATCGAAACTTTAGCACACGTGCTATAATGTACAGTTAATTTAACTTTAAAGCACGATGATTACTTTATAGCACGTTGATTATGAAATTCACGATGAAGTACACGATAGTTTAATAAAATAAGTTGGGCGCAGTTTTACATTCGAATAAAATGTAGCTGTTTTCCACCCACTTCATAATTCTAGATTTTATCAATTTTGATTAAGAATTATTCCGCTTTATAAAGATTATTACTGTACAGTGTCCCAATACATATGGGAATTGGGAGACGATTTGAATTTCGTCTTTGATTTCCGATAATTGATCAATGAAATAAATTGCATTAAAAAAGCGATTGTACGTCTAATGTGATTTAAGAAATGTGGTCTATCTATCTTTAAAAATGTCGGATGTATAAAACATTCGAACAGTTTTGTTGAATTTTAATTAGCTGGAATTTGGACAAATTTCCTAACATCTCTTTGAAGTATGTAGAGTGTAGACCACATTATGGAGATCCTGAGACTACTAGCTATCGGTGTTAAATGTATAAGTGTGTAATACTACAAAAATATACTAACCAAATAATCCCATTTGGAACAAAGACGATTTAGAAGTTGTAATTTAATTCTCATGTTTATATGGACACCCTGTAGTATAACCAAAAATTTAGAAGTAGAAATATATTTAACTTCGAAACTGAGAATGTTAAATTATTTATTTATTAGTTGGCGGCTACTTGCTCAGGTTAACCTAAAATTTTAAGAAGAAAACTAAGAAATTTTACTAAATGAAAATTATAACAGGAAAAATTTGCAGGACATTGATATCAAATTGAAAATAGAATGGTATTAATCTTGATTTTGGACTCAGAGGACGTAAACTCTCTATCAGTTGGGATTTCTTTCATTGAGTTCATGTCCGAATTTAATGAATTTAAACCGCGTCTCAAATTCCCCGAAAACTTGAATCGAATACGTAGTTAAAAGTGGAACCAACTATATTTGAGCCGCGGCTCAAATTCAATAAATTCGGCCTCATTTTATTTTAACAAGCACATTTATCTTTTGTTTTGTTAACACGGACTCAGAGGATGTTAGTATGTCCAGAAGCCAAAACTGATTTTCTGAGACATGCGAGCCGTAAACCTTTTCACTGTACAGTACAGTACAGTACACAATTCCTAATACGTTCATCGTAAAATATGTACATCTTACAGTGTACGCTTATTACTATCTGCGTAGGACATACACTTTACACTGTACATACTACATGGTACTAATATATACAGTGCAGACTGTACACTAATCATACAGTGATACCCAGATAACTTTGAAATAGGAAGAAGACTTTTGAATTCAATTTAGGACTTAAACATTAGACATAGCAATTTTAACGTGTAAATAGACAATTCTCACATAAATAGTGCTTTGCTGAATTTCTAGTAACAATATTTGCTTTGTAACAACATCTAAACGCTTAAAGGGAGTGTTCGCGAAAAATGTAATGGGGTATAGGCTTAATACGATAAAAAAAGCTCTTTTGATCGCTACTAATCTTACTTCTATTTGTTGCGTCTATAAGGAGAAAATTGTTAAAGACGTCTAATACCGAAGAGCGTAGCGGCCATACAAATTGAGGTACAGGGTATCCCACATCAAATTAGACCGCGTCAATGGGTCTAAATTACGATTTGGGGGACAAATCAGAAAATTTAAGAATGATTCATTTTGAAAAATTTAATAAGGCTAATAGAAATTTTTTTTGCAGAAAATACTAGATTTTTTTAGTATAATGTGCGTATTTAGGTGTTAAAGATTGGAGATAATCCAATATGATATGGGACGCTCTGTAGTTGGAACATACGACTTAGACCGTAAAAAAATCAAATTAATATCAAACAAATTATTCAGATATCACAACCTAAAGTCATCGATTATCTTTCGCCCCATTTGTATATATTTGATATTTCATACTAGTTTTGATTTTGTTTTTTAAAATAATATTTAGCTAACAACTTGTTTTTGAACATTCCTGGAAAATATGAAACTGTCGTCTTCATTACCAAAAATCCTCGAAACATGAATAAATGTTTTTATAAGTAACTCTCAGATCATAACAATTAAAACATATTATGAAAAATCAACTATAAATAAATGTGGCGAAAGACAATCGATGACTATAGTTGTAATATCTGAATGATTTGTTTGAAATTAAATTGATTTTTTTACGGTCTAAGTCGTATGTTGCAATTTTCTGAATTTGTATGGACGCCATGTTGTTCAGTATGAGACGTTTTTAACAATTTTCTCCTTATAGACGCAACAGATAGAAGTAAGATTAGTAGCGATCAAAAGCGCTTTTTTATCGCATTTAGCCTATACCCCCTTTCATTTTTCGCGAACACTCCCTTTAAGTATTGCTATATTGTCGTCTTTCTATTCCATTGTTTTCTGGTTATCACTATAATATGTCCAGGATATACAGGATGTACAAGGTCGACAGCTGACGACATTCAACAATCCTGGACAGAAAGTGGACAGGTAACAGATAACTTCCAGGAATTCCAGGAAACAAAAAATAAGATATTGTTATTTTATTTTATTGATGCAAATTATCTTTCATCAGCAGATGTATTCGAATTGATTATATACAATCAACTAAGCTTTTGGCGTTTTCTGAAATAATTTGCGGTACTAGGACCGAAGAAATGGTGGGGTTTAGTGGAGAGTGGATAATTCAAGATTAAAAATGTTTTAATTCGAACAGCAAAGGATGAGACTTCAAATACGACTAAACGGAATTTAATCAGTCTTTTTTAAAATTCATGTTAGCCTATTGATTTAAAAGTTTTACTTCCAAAGGTTAATCATTAAGTTCATCTAAAAAATGCTATCTTAAAGATCAAAGAGTGATCGTCGAAATGGACGAGTGATAGGTCGTCATTAAATTTTCGTCTTTTGTTTCGTCCTGTAGGTACGGTGGAATTTATAATCTAAAGTGACTCGACATTCAAAAAGTTTGATGCCTGATTAAACCATGTCTGAGCAAGAAAAATTCAGAAATCTTTTTTAACTATTTGAAAATTGGTCATTTTAAATTGTAAATTCTCTGACTTGCGGATGGAACACAAGGAAGAAAATCAACAGAATTAAACAGTACTTTAAAACATAAAAACGATGATAACTTCCATAATGTTGCTCCAGATAAAGGTGTAAAGCGTACTGAAGATAATCAGACATGATAATCTTCAGGGGTGGGGGGAAATTAAGTTTACAGCTAGGATTGCATAGCCCACCCCCCACAGTTCCCCCACCAAAATTTCCAAAAATGTTAAACCATGGAGCGACAATGTTTAATGAAATAATACAATGAACATTGAACAAGACCATTTTAGGCGGCGGAGTGAAGATCTTGGTTCTGGTTCATGTACTGTACTGCAGAATAAACGGCGAGGAAGCATAGGACGCATGCTGGATCTTTAATCAATAATATATATGTTCTGGTTTATGTACTGTAATGCAGAAGTACTCTCCATCATATTACTATGGACGGATAAAAACAAAAATAAGCTTCGTTGTTGAAAAATTTAACCTTACAATGATTAACATAATATTTAATAATAATAAAATTTGGGTTTTTATCACTGATCTTCGTTGCAGTTACTTTGTACTTTCAGAAAACATTTATTTTACAATATTTACAAAGACAACAATATTAAAACAAAGGGGGGGGGCACTTTTTTAAGTTCCCAAAAAGCCTGGACATGCTCGTCGAGGACAAGGGGAGTTTGGCGTAATATCCAAGTATAAAACTTGAAAATATTTTTTTTTCTTTTGCAGATGTTAAACCCATTTACATTTTGTATGGTTTATAGCCTGGCAAAATAGTTTTGAAGAACCATTTATCATTTATCGTCATTGTTTTTCAGTTTATTTATAATATCTCTGGAAAGTTTTACATGTTAAGTGATAGGAAGTAAGATAGGGGGGAGACATTCAACACAAATAATGGAAAGTAAAGAAGAAGAAAGATTTTAGGAACTGCTAATGCAGAGACTAGAAAAAGAGAAGTTAAAACACAGACAATATGAAGTACAAGATAAGATACGAGAAGTGAAAACAATGCGGAAGCAGGATAAGAAGATGGACGAAAAACAACACTGCATAAAAAAACATCAAAATAGGAGACCCTCTAGATGTCATCCAGGACCATTAGGAAATAAATCAAACCTTCTTCTGGGGGAGTGTATTAAAATATTGTTGTGATTTATTTCATCATGTTTTATGTATATATAGTTTGTAAGATTTGAAAGTTTTACGTGTGCTGCACAGTGCGCAGGTAGAAATGCATTGTTAGCTAGATCAATAGGAGTTAAAAAGTTTTAAATGGAAACAGATCAACTCTGTCCTTGGGGCAGTGTTTTCAAATTAGGCATTTTATCTAATCCCATATTTTACTTTATAGAATATGTATCTTTTCAAGTGTTTTCCAATCGTTACGAGGACCCCTTAATGCGTATTTGAATGTAAATGCCCAGACTCTGAGTATAACTTAAGTAAGGCCTAAAACAACTAGTTTAACTGAAAACAAATAGGATATTAGAGTGAAACCCTTAATAACGAATACATCGGAAGAATTTATCAAACGTAGTCTTGACAATTTTTTTATGAGTTTTATAATACATATATGTATATTTGTAACAAATTCAAGAAAACACGAAGACGATTACTACTGTGTAGCGAAGTTGACCGCGGAAGATTCACAATACTATAATACTATATCCGCTCCAAATGTGTCTCCTCATGTTCCCCACCCCCCTTACCGCCTCTACTTGTGGGGAACAGCGTCAGTTAGCTTTAGAATGTCGAGATGTGAACACCTCTGATCTGGAACTACTAACTCCTTCATACTGCCGCCGATGTCTACTCTAGCAACAAATGCTGCTAATGTCTAAGCCTCCATCATGTCCAAATCCACAAAGCAGTCGCATGTCCCGGGGTTGAGAGGCAATTCAAGTTCCTCCCTACACATGTTACAGACTGCAAACCCTCCAGGACCGTCGCCTAGATGTGAACCCTTTGCTGCCAAGATGCTGACACCTGTGAGCTGACCATCATGAAGCTCCAACTGTTCCATTCCTTTCAACACTATTAATCAATGTTATTTCATTTTCAACCGTTTAGATACTCCCAATTAAGGGCCAATATTTTTAAACTTTGCTTTTATTTCTCATTTCATGCTATTATTCAATAAAGTTACCGAATATCCCTGTTGTTCTTTTATTTGTGTCAACAATATTACGTAAATTTCAGTATTTGCGAAAATAAATAATAGCCATGAATGTGCGGGAACAGTTTTAAAGAGTTTTATAAAATCATTTAATTAAAAAACTAAATATCTGCAACATTCCATTATCAGAAAGTGAAGAATACGACATTTGATGAAGTCTTTCGATGTATTCGTTATTAAGGGATTCACTGTATAAGCAACAATATGTATAACATTAAAAAGTACAATTTTTATGCTGATTTCCTATTAATACTTACAAGAGTGTCATCTATTAAGAGAAGAGATCAAAGTATGTTTAAATCAGCTTCCAGAGTTGGCTTATGTTTTACTGAAGCTATAATCAGGGTCCAGGCATAAACAATCAAATACGCTTTAAGGCATGAGCGTAACAATTGGAAACCAATTGGAAACGTACATATTCTATTTAGTAAAAAATTGGAAATAGATCAAATGCCTGAGCTGGGAACTTTTGAATGGTGGATATCGGGATTAATGCTTGATCCACTCTTTTTCTTAATCTCGAGATTAAATAATGCTTGTTCTCCTCATGTTATTAATCTCCAGATTAATTAGCTGATTAATTGATTGCTATTGTCCGGATGACATGTAGCTAAAGAGATTGCGTCCAGTGGTAGTGGTGTTGATAGTTCATGAGATTGTAGCTGTGTGAATCATGTCCTGTTTGAGACATTGATCAATTAATTGACACTGATGCCAACAAGATCGCGCCCTGTAGTAGTGGCATTGATAGTTCAAGGGATTGTAGGGGATGGATTGTACCTGGAATGATACAGTTAGGGACAACGTTTTAAGAGTACATCATTTACTACATGAATACAGACAGTAACAATTTTTTACTATTGCCTTGCTGATGGAATTCCAAAACGCTTTTGTGGCTTTTGTTGCTGGTGATGTCATGTGAAGAGCTAGAACGGTGTCAAACTGTCTTGTTGGGGGGAGTGAGAATGCCGAGATAACATTTTGTCCCTAAATGACAAAATAAAATAATCTTTTTTTAAAAATTCAAATAGTTTTTCTTACCGTAGAGTTTCATAAAGACTAACAACAGTATCAACTCCAGAGATAGGTTCAGCCACCTAATCAATTAATTAATTAATCAATCAATCAATCTATCAATTACGATCAATTAAGATCAATCAGAATCAATAAAGATAAACAAGATGAAAAAAGATTAAAAAGATCAATAAAGATAAAAAAGATCAATAACGATAAAAAAGATCAATAAAGATAAAAAGATCAATAAAGATATAAAAGATCAATTAAGATTAATCAAGATCAATAAATATCAATAAAGATCAATCAAGATGAATCAAGATCAGTAAAATCAGTCCAGATCAGTTTAAATCAGTCAATCAACCAGTCAAACCATATTAAGTAAATAATAAACGTCATCAAAAATCTAATAATATATATATCTATTTAGTTTTTACCCACAAAAAATCAAATTAGAGCCTTTTTCGCCAAGCAAAAAATCATATTTTCTAATTTAACCTTTAAAAGTGTATCAGTTCTTGCTGCAGGAAGTTTCGGATGAATCCACCATAACAATCTAGATTACAAAGTTAATTTAATTTTGTTGTAATTTTCCTAAGCGAAAATTAAATTTCTTTATTCCTTTAGTTGTGCGTCAAGCGTCACTTGTAATAAAAATCAATCATCATTCTGTACAAATCATGGCCGTACTCATTAAAAATTAAAATTAAAATCAAGAAATATAACATTTGTAAGACATTACTACTTAACTAGCTGAGTAAGCGGCGTTATCTGTGAAAAAAATCGATTTAATCTTTTTAGTCTATGTTACCCCAAGGGTATCCATGGGCTACCTCAGCCAATTTGGTTCAGCCGTTTGGTCAGCTATATCTAACATATTTATGAGCGAAGAGCTTTATTATTACTTAATATCACGGATTTTAAGTTTCCGATTTTATCAAATTAAAAACCAATCACAATCTGATCCCACAAAAAAGGAAGCTTTTTTAATTCCACCATTTTGTAAAACTATGTTTTGAGAGTACTAACCTCAGCAGATGTCTGTTAACATTATCAACATTAATACAGGTAAAGAAAAATTCATCAAACACTGAGGTACAGAAATCCTCATTTTCAAACTCATCCTAAGAGATCGTTCGTTTTACAAGAAAATTGTTTAAAACGCTTCTTATTAATTGCCTTATTAGAGCAACATGTAAACATTCTTTATGTGCATTTCATTAGGATAGCTTCTAATTTATATCTCAAATATTCACTGCACAAAAAATTAGTTTTTTTTGATAATCTTAATCGAAGGGTAAGAATCGAATCAAGTTTATAAATAAAAATCAAATATTTAACTTAGTTTTTTTAATCGTTTTCAAAATTCAGATAAAACAATTTTTATTAAATTAATCCTCGTCGGTGGTCCAAAATTACATCTGGAAGTTTACTGTATTATTTTATTGTATAGTTACTCCCGCCGTTTACCCGCTCTTGGTCGTAAATTACGATTTTTCCCTATAAAAATAGGCCCCATTAACTTAGAATCTCAAAACCAAGTTCAGAATATTTCCGTGGGTTTCCCGAGTTCTCCAATTAAAAATTGAGGCAAATCAGACAAGGTGTTCGTGAGTTATGATCGGACGGACGGACGTTCAAACAAACAGAGATTACAACTTTATATAGATATAGATTATACCTTCATAACTATCAAGGAAGTTACTAAACTGTGCAGGAAGGCATCCTAAACAAACCAATATAAAAACAATAAAAACAATATTTAAAAAAAATAATAATTTTAAATTATCTTAATAATGTGTACAATTTTATTTCATGGTTTAGGTAACTTGATTTAATTTAACTAAATAGGAGACATCAATGTTTTACGATAGACATGATTTAATCAAAATAATCGACCCCCCCCCACCTCCCTTTAAAAATTTATACAGAAAAAAATAACCTCAAAATTTTATTATTANTCAAAGGGATGACCTCTAATGTTTTGTGCCAGTATACCAAGAACACGCATTACTCCAATCTTGTCCTTATTTCTGAACATTATTAGCTTTAAGCAGAATAGTTCACTATTTAATAAAAGGAATTAACAATACTTTAAAAGGAATTAACATAAAGGTAATAGCTGAATAATACCTGTGGATCTAGGTATCGAATTCTGGGAATATGCTAAAATTCCCGAAACGAGCTTACCAGATCCGGATCCATTTTCTTACAGGATCCAGATACGGATTCATTTTCTTACAGGATCCAGATCTGGATTAATTTTCTTACAGGATCCAGATCCAGATCCATTTTCTTACAAGATCCAGATCCGGATCCATTTTCTAACAGGATCCAGATCTGGATCCATTTTCTTACAGGATCCAGATCGGGATCCTTTTTCTTACAGGATCCGGATCCATTTTCTTACAGGATCCAGATCAGGATCCATTTTCTTACAGGATCCAGATCGGGATCCAATTTCTTACTGGATCCATATCCGGATCAATTTTCTCACAGAACCCAGATCCAGATCCACTTTCTTACAGGATCCAGATCTGGATCCATTTTCTTACAGGATCCAGATCCATTTTCTTGCAGGACCCAGATATGGATCCATTTTCTTACAGGATCCAGATCCAGATCCATTTTCTTACAGGATCCAGATCGGGATCCATTTTCTTACAGGATCCAGATCCGGATCCATTTTCTTACAGGATCCAGATCGGGATCCATTTTCTTACAGGATCCAGATCCAGATCCATTTTCTTGCAGGATTTAGTTCCAGATCCATTTTCTTACAGGATCCAGATCCAGATCCACATCAAAATGGAATAGATGCATGACTAAAGGATTCGGTAAAATGTTTCCGGAAAATTTTGAAAGAAAAAAGAAGCAGGATGGAATTTAGCGACATTAAAGCTTACCAAAGTATGTCATGCTTAAGAATTATTGGTTTGTAGTTTGTACCTTGTTGTCTGAAGAGTGTACTGCATTGCCATAGTTGTAGCAATAGGACACTGGGACACCTATATAGTACATATGTTCATAAATTAAATCTTTATAGAACACTTGGGCATCTCGATATTTTCATATATTAAACCTTTATAGGACACTGGGACACCTAGATATATTATATTATTTATTAAACCGAAAAACCATTAACCTTTATAGGACACTTGAACACATAGACATATTGATATATTAAACCTTTAAAGAACACTGGGACACATAGACATATTCATATATTAAACCTTTATAGGACACTGAGACACGTAGACATATTCATATATTAAACCTTTATAGGACACTGAGACACATAGACATATTCATATATTAAACCTTTATAGAACACTGTGACACATAGACATATTCATATATTAAACCTTTATAGGACACTGAGACACATAGATATATTTTATGATATATGGTTGTGTCATCGTTCATATCTGTACTCTATGGTTAACCTGTACATCGTACACATCTGTCTCTATGGTTAACCTGTACATAATACATATCAGTATTCCATGGTTTACCTGTACATAATACATATCAGTATTCCATGGTTTACCTGTACATCGTACATAATTGTACTCTATGATTAACCTGTACACAATACATATCAGTACTCTATGGTTTACCTGTACATCGTACATATCTGGCGGGGGTCCTGAATGATCTATAATAATACTGGCAGTATCTCTCTCCTCCACTGGAAACTTGTAGTTCAATGCTCGAACCTTTATTAAAGAAATAATTAATAAATTGTAAAAATGAATTGGTACACCGATATTTTAAGACTGAAAGTGACTGTAAAAGTAATGTTAAGAGACCCTCCCTGCAATGAGGGGAATGTCCGATGTGCAACGGTACCCTTTAAATCTTTGACTGAACGTCGAGGGCGGAGAACGCAGTATGTAGATTTCTGAAATGGTGTTCAAAACTTGTGTAAACTCAACCCAGCTGAAGTTCCGTGTATTTCTTGAAAACTTCTATGTCATCCGTGGTTTTTAAAATTCAAAGTAATTATTCATTTTCTGTAATTTCTAGTAGTAAATATTAATATAGCTTAAATATTATTGTGAATCGAACATGACATTCTATTGTTACTTCAAATTACGCCTACAACCTGTTACAAACCTGAAAACAAATATATATAATAAAGCTCTTCCCTAATTTTTGGAGGGAATCCATGGGTAGCCTGGGGGTAAGATAGGCTTTAAAAAATTAGATTTTTTTTATTCCACGGGCAACGCAGGGCACTTCAGCTAATTATGGATATTCATTTATATTTTTTTCAAATGCTTAACACTGAGTACTTTACCTGATCGTCGACGATTAGAGACATCATGGCCGGGAGAAACTGGACAAGAAGCGGGAGTTCTATCTTTGGTTCCCTGAAATCCTGAGTCTCAATCATATCCCAGGCAGATAATCCCAGTGCCAACATTCTAACAAAAATATTATTTAAAGGGACTGTTCGTGAAGTTAAAGTCAAGTAAGTCACACATTTGGTACTATTTGTATGCCGATCTGATCTGAGTGGAACTATTTTTCAAATATACACATTTATTGTATATAAAAACAGGTTTAAATAATTTATTAAATAAATCAATAAATAAATAAATAAATAAATAAATAAATAAAAAAATAAATAAATAAAATGATTGCTGTGCCTGTTAACTAACAAAGACGACCTCCAATCAAAAAGTGCACACTGTATAGTGTAAAATCGTGCCTGGGGTTGACTGTTTGAAAAACGCCAAGGAAATGTTTTATTAATGAACCCTGGATGTAGGTCCGCCGTGTGTAAGGTGTAAAATTGTACCTAAAAATTTTCAAAAAATTGCAAAGCTAATGGTGTAGTACTTTTGAAAAAAGTCAGGGTATTTAAGTTCTTTTTTTATTTCTTTATTAACACACCTGAGAAGAAGATGAAGAACGGGTTGATCTCTAGGAAGGGCCTCCTTCTCAACCTTCAAAATCAATCAATCGATTAATCAATAAATCAATCAATTCATTAATAAATGCATTAATTATTTAATTAATTAATTAATTAATCGATCAATAAAGACTATCAGGCAGGCAATATATCAAGCAATAGATCAATCAATAAATCTACCGATCAATTAGTAAAGCTATATTAAGTAAATCAGTAAAACTAACAATTAGATAACCAATGAAGTATAACCTAAAAAATCACCAGCTAAATACAAAACTAAATTTACGCCAATTATTCAGCTGGCAGGCCAGGTAAAAATAATTTATATGAGGAGGGGGTTCAGTAGTTCTGTTTTCCAATAATAATTATATAATAATGTATAAACATGTATAACATTATATAAGANAGTTTACCTGGAAGTTAACAAGCTTCATGGCGGACTGGGAGAGGAAATTGATCGCAAAAGGATCACACAATGTCATACTCAGGTCTCCCAAAACCTAGATACAATTGTTATCTACATTAATCTTATAATATACTAGCTCAAGTGTCTGGCGTTGCCAGTGGAATTTCATAAACGTGTGAACATTTTTTTCGAGCTAAAAAAAAGAGTCGAGTCGGCAAAAATTCAACAACAAAAACCGGGAAAATACTTAACATTCTCAAAGCACACATTTAAAGCGTCGACTCTTGAGAGATTGTTAATCATTAAATGGAAAGTTTCCCCATAGGATTGACGAAAAAAAGAGAAAATTGTTTTTTTTTGTGAAAAAGAAATTAGCTAACAAAACTTAATAATAATGTACATGAGCTGGATCTGAATCCATTTTTTTACATGGATTGGATCCAGGATCCGGGTCCGCATCATGGATCCAAAGAATAAGAAGCATTGCTCAAACTTAATCTAATCCTGTCGATCGGGGGAAGGTACATCACACAATTTTTTCGTTCGGACCACAAATGACGTTACAATTCACCATTATTTTTCATGTTATTCAAGATTATTTGATATTGTTTAAATGCATTTTGTTTGAAAAAATGACGATATTTAACCTATTTTTCGTCCTGACCACACATATTTCTATTGTTTTCTTATTTTATTTCTAAACTGCAACTTTTAGGTGATAAGTCGCTGGGATTTTTAGAATATACAACTAATTGGTTTTGATTTGCTTGAGGCATTATGCAATAAAAAATGCCGTGAACGGTTTTATGCCTACCGTTTCTTAATAAGATGTTCCTTTGTAAAAAAAAACAGAATATAATATATCATCATGTACACAAAATGACGTGGCTCAAAATTCGAATACTTAAAAAAAATCACGTAAATAATGCCAGACGCAGAAAAGGTGTGGTCGGACGAAATAATGGTGAATTGTGACGTCATTTGTGGTCGGACGAAAAAAAGTTGTGGTGTGCCTTCCCTCCCTCCTCCTGACTAGACAAGTGCTACCTGTTCCTGTCCCCTCCTGATAGCATCTAGGAACCCCTGAAGTTCTCTAGACCTCTTCACATCAACATTTCTCTCCCTTGAAAAACCACGTGATAAAAATTGAAAAAAATCTACAATCAAAATTTAACCTGATACAAGCATCTAAACACCAGGTAAACTTGTGACAAGGATCAACAGAGATAACATCCTGAACTTCTCTAAACATAGATAAACACAATTTAAAAAGAAAAAATTAGAGAGGATCGACTCTATAGTATACTCCAATTTAGACGTTAGAACAAGATAGTTGATTCTATCCCTTGTCCCGTGTTATTAAAACATAAAAAATTAAGAACTGTGTGCTAGGTTGTCCTCCACCCCACACCCTATCGTTCCTTTTTCTACTTTCCTCTCTATTCTTCATTTTCCTCTGTCTACTCCCATTCCTTCTCCTCAACCTCTATGTGCTTTCCTTTAATTCTAAATTGTTTTTGTTTTATTTTGTTTTATTTTAATTTAGCATGTATTTATCGCTGCAAAAGAACTCTCATTCAAAACAACTAACAATGCTTAGAGGTCCTGGCTAAATTTAAAAAAAATTGTGCAATACCTGTAATTGTTATCTAGAAAAATATTAAGTAAAATATATAAATTTATCTTTATATATATAGTCATGCAGAATTATTGGTACTACGTTCAAACGCTGTACCTCAGTCATTTTTATTTGTCATGCACTCAGGAGTGAAATAATGGAAGTTTTCTAGTTGTATTTCAGGATTCAAACCTTTAAGAAGCAGAAAGAAAAGTATAAAATAAGTTTGTCTACCAACAAGTCTCCTTCCAGGACAATGTGGGGCATTGTCCATGGATACGCTCGGTGGACAGGAGCGCAGGCCCCAACTTCATTGACCGACGGGTTGTCTTTTAATAATAATAATAATACTTGCTACCCAAAAGTTCTTTATCAACAGCTAAAATTTCGATACAGAGTGTGATAACTTTGAATCTGTAAAAATTAGTGTCAAATTGATTTTTTTTTAATAGGTAATATTCTTAAGCTCTTTAAAAATTGATTTAATTCATTCATAATTGTAAAGAAGGAATTATAATGGAGAGTTTATGTTAAAGACTATATCGTACATCATGTACTTTGTACAGTTTTAATAACGACAAAAGATTTATTTAAGAAGTGCTAAATATGTAACATGACCAAATCTATCGATCAATATCAAATACTCAAAAAAATTATCATTATCAATTAAAAAATCAGTCAATCACTTAATCAAATAACAAATCCATACAATAATCCATCTACCAATTCACCCATCGATCCATCAATTAATCCATAAATTGATCGATCTATAGAAGAATCTACCTGTCATGAAGAGCCATCAGAAGTTCCGATCTAAGCGTACAATAGTGTACGTTTTTAGTTCTCAGGAACAGTGTACGCAAAAACTAAAATAAGAAATAAGTAAGCATTAAAAAAATTAAGCAAACTTGATTTTTTTCTTAGAAAATTGAAAATTGAGTTTGGGTACATTTGATACATGGACAATCCAACAAAAGAGTGGAAATGACATTTTTAGATAGAAAATTGTCTAAATACGCGATTTCCTAGACAGTTTAGAAAGAACCTTTCATAGATATTGTTTATGAAATGTCCTTTCTAGGAATTGTCTAATCTGTGGAATGCCTAGTTTGTGAAATGTCCTATCTATGAATTGTCCTACCTATGAGTTGTCCCATCTGTAAATTGTCTAGTATATGAAATGTCTTTTCTATGAAATGTCTTTTCTATGAATGTCCTGTCTAAGAAATGTCCTGTCTATGAAATGTTCTGTCTATGAAATGTCCCGTCTATGAAATGTCCTGTCTATGAAATGTACTGTCTATGAAATGTCCTGTCCATGAAATGTCCTGTCTATGAAATGTCCTGTCATGAAATGTTAAATCAATGATATGAACGGTCTATTCAATTAACTGTCTATGAAATGTCCAATCATTTATATAAACGGTCTATGAAATGTCCTCTCTATGATATGTCCAATCAATGATATGAACGGTCTATTCAATAAACTGTCAATGAAATGTTCTGTCTATGAAATGTTCTGTCATTAAATGTCTTGTCATGAAATGTTCTGTCTGTACAATGTACTGTCTATGAAATGTTCAATCAATGATATGAATGGTCTATTCAATGAATTGTCTATGATATGTCCTATCTATGATATGAAAAGAAGCAAAATAGTAATTTTTCTCTTCAACCTGGGCGACCCTTACCATTAATTTAAAATAATAATATAATTATCGTCTAGAGAGTAGCTAAAAGATCCCGGAACCCTTTAATGAATAATAACTAGCTAATGAATTAACCTGAAGTGTCATATCGTAGAGTTTCACATGGTTTCCAATCATCTCAGCCAATTTCTGGATTACTTCTGACTGTCGCCGGCTCTTAGGAGAACCACTGAAGAAACCTTAAAGAGAGTGTTAGCGTAACTTCAAGTGATCCTACATGCAAAAAAAGCAATGTCAGATTTACAACGGTACTTTAAAACTTTATTATAATCAAAATATGAAAGATGACATCGTTTTCTGACTTAAATTCTGATAATGTCTTCATTATTTCCTTTAAGCAAAAACGCGCAAATTACTTTTTCAGAGAACCCACAAAAGAATGTAAACACTTACAGTATACTATCCAATTTTTTTCCTTGTAAATCAGACATTGTCATCTTTGATTGCAGGGTCACTTCAAATTACGCGTACAGTCCCTTTAGCAAATGGAATATATGTAAACATATTCAAACTTTAACATATCTCTGGAGATTGGGTTAGTATTTATCAGCCAGAATTACCACATTACACAATTTTGGGATTAAAGGGGAAGGAGGAATATCCATAGCTAGGGGGGGGGGACATAAACATTTCAATCATAGAAAAAAACTTATGAACAATTGAACATGAAGATTGAAGATAAATGAGAATATTATCTTTGCGTACGAGAAAAATTGGAAAACAAAAGATTTCTTTTTTGCCTAAGCCCCCCCCCCATCCCTTTTTTTTGCTTTACGTTTAACCCCTCCTTCCCAACTCCAAACCGTCTGCAAAAACTTGATCTTTAACACTCACCAGATCCTGTCTCATGGGTAAATAGCACATTTTCCTTATCCTATATTTAGAGTTATAGCATCAGTATTTTCATATTAAAATTATAATGTGATTCAAATAATCAACAAATATTTACTTCTCCATAATGACTAATGAGATCAATTTTTTGGCTGGCATTGTCAGGAAAATTGACAAGAAAAAGGCAACATAGGAAAAATTTAATAATAACAATATACCCCTATAAAAGATAAATAATAATATTAACAAAGATGAATAACAAGAGCAAAATAAATAAAGAGAATATTAAACAAGAGAAAGATAAATGATATGAATATTAAATAAGTGAAAGATAAATAAAGAGAATATTAAATAAGAGAAATATAAATAAAGAGAATATTAAATAAATGAAAGATAAATCAAGAGAATATTAAATAAGTGAAAGATAAATAAAGAGAATATTAAACAATATAAAGATAAATAAAGAGAATATTAAACAAGAGAAAGATAAAAAAGAAAATATCGCAAAAGAGAAATATAAATAATGAGAATATTAAATAAGTGCAAGATAAATGATAAGAATATTAAATAAGTGTAAAGATGAATAAAGAGAATATTTAACAAGTGAAAAATAAATAATGATATTAAACAAGAGAAGGATCAATAAAGAGAATATTATCAACAGAAAGATAAATAAAGAGAATATTAAATAAGTAAAAGATAAATAAAGAGAATATTGAACAGGAGAAGGATAAATAAAGAGAATATTGAACAGGAGAAGGATAAATAAAGAACAAATTATTATACAAGAGAAAGATAAATAAAGAGAATACTGAAGCATTGATTCCTTGATGTATTGTGAAAGCAACGGTGACACTTCGTCACCAAACAAAGACTGATTATCCCGCCAAAGATGACGTTTTATCTAAAAATTTATGTACGTCAATCAATCAATCAATCAACCAATGAAATCAATTTAACTCGAGTGGTTAAATTTAAAATTTGGCAGTAAAAAAACGATGAAATAGAGAAATTGATTTTCTGTCTGAGTCTGAAATGTTTAAAATGAGCAAATTAAATTATTATTCAACGGAATCCATCAGTTAAAATTAGTAAAGGGACTATTGACGTATTTTGAAGTGATACTCCGTTATGGAAAACACATGTTCAGTTCGCAACGGTACACTTTAACCCACTATCTAACTAACAATATGAGAGATAATGTTTTTTAAAAAATCTATTTTTAGCTTAAAGAAGGGCATTTCATTAGCTTTTCTAACGGACAAAGGTTTAGGAGTACTGGTGTAAATCGAAATATGAATAATTAGCTGAAATGCCTGACGTTGCCCGTGGATATAAAAGCAAGTCGAACTTTTCTAGCCTATGTTACTTCCCAGGCACCCATGGGTTCCTTCTAAAAATGTCAGCCCATTCGGTCCAGCCTTTTGATCAGCTATAGCTGACATATATATATATATATATATATAAACAATGAACATGCCATTCTTTAACTGGAGGGCAAATTTGAAATTACGTTTTCACTCCCCTTAATTGGTAAAAATCAAAAACAATGAAAAAATCGAAAATGTAAAATCCTCACCTCAATGTCACAGTCCGCATACAGTTCCTTATCCCTCACTAGAAACCTCAGGTACCTTAATAATCAGGAATATCAGGAAAAAGATCTGAAAGCTCCCCCATACATAACTAAACTTCAGGTACTTTAATAATACATAATTAAACCTCAGGTACCTTAATAATACATAATTAAACCTCAGGTACCTTAATAACACATAATTAAACCTCAGGTACTTAAATTATACATAATTAAACCTCAGGTACCTTAATAATACATAATTAAACCTCAGATACCTTAAAATACATAATTCAACTTCAGGTACCTTAATAATACAATACATAATTAAACCTCAGGTACCTTAATAACACATTATTAAACCTCAGGTACCTTAATAATACATAATCAAACCTCAGGTACCTTAATAATACATAATCAAACCTCAGGTACCTTAATAATACATAATTAAACCTCAAGTACCTTAATTATACATAATCAAACCTCAGATACCGTATAAATACATAATTAGACCTCAAGTACCTTAATAATACATAATCAAACCTCAGGTACCTTAATAATACATAATGAAACCTCAAGTACCTTAATTATACATAATCAAACCTCAGATACCGTATAAATACATAATTAAACCTCAAGTACCTTAATAATATATATTCAAACCTAAGGTACCTTAATAATACATAATTAAACCTCAGGTACTTTAATAATACATAATCAAACCTCAGATACCGTATAAATAAATAATTAAGCCTCAGGTACCTTAATAATACATAATCAAACCTCAGGTACCTTAAATCTCAATATCCCATAATTAAGCCCTGGATACCTTAATAAGCAAATATTACTAATACAAACTTTAACTGTTTTCGTGATTCACAAAATAATGTTCTTCAAGAAAGTAATCCCCTATTTAAGTATTTTTTTTATTACCTATCCTCAATATAGGACATGTTCTTTAGAATACTCATTACTACCGGTCTCACCTCCTAACAACAAAAGTTTCATAAATTTCAGTGATTAGGATCCAAATCCGGATCCGCAACATTTTAGCTCCCTAAATCCGGATCCAAGTGGCAAAATATCCACCAAAAAAAATATGATTCTCTTAAACCACACATTTCAAGTGACAACGAATGAGAGATTAGATCAAAATAAACTTCGTGCTGAATGGTTTTTTGATAAAAATAAGCGAAAAAATGACAATTTTTAAATTGAAAGATCCGGATCCATAATTAATTTAATGAATCCTGAACATTGAGGATTTTAGAAAATTTGATTTATTTTTCTTCGCATTACAACATTTATCTTTCTTTAAAGGGACTGTAAGCGTAATTTCAATTGACGCAAAGATGGCAATGCCAAATTCACAACGATACCCTTGAAAGAGAACAATTTTCTGATAAAGACCATCTCTTGTCGCTATTCTAGTTTAAAGAGACTTTAAAACTGATAATTCCTATAAGTTTTCTTGCAGTAGAAGTGCTCAAGTCTTTTTAGTAGAGAAAATAAATTATTAACATTGATATCTAATTGATACTTGATCAGACAAAGCTTTCAATGGCACAGTTGAGAATCGGGCATTATCATCTTTACTTGGAGGGTCACGTTTACAGTCCCTTTAATAATCGACATTAAGATAACTTTGCCGTCCATTTATTCTTTAAATTGTTGCACTCTTAGAACACTTTGTTTTTTTTGTGGTTTCAAACAGGACTGATGTGACGCATGTCTAATTAAACAGACCACCCCCCACCCTCTAATCATCACCTTTATCTGAATAACAGGAAAGCTTTTAGAAAGCAAATCTCTGAGTTTTTTATCTTTCTCCTTTCCTTCTGTATCACCAAGCTCACTTATCTAAACAGTTTAAAAAGATTTTTAGAATATCTGATTACGTAAAATTGCGGTTTTGTAAAAAATACGTTTTTAAAAAATAAACCTGAGCAATCAATTTATCCCTTAGGTCTTCGAGCACCGAGTTGTGGAAATCTAATCTGAAAAAAGGTTTGAGATAAACTTCTGGCAATTTAAAAATCATTGGTTGTAGTATTCGAATTTGGGTCAAATGACGGAAAAGAAAAAACCTCAAATGAAAAAGTACAAAAAGGAAAGAAGTGTAAACATTACATCGATAACATATAGAACCATAAAGATCAAAAAGAAGCCCACCATCCCTCCTACAGCACCCACACACAAAAACGTAAAAATTGTAGAATAATTTAGCTTACATTACGAAAAAGTCAGGGATATATATTTTCTTTAATTTTGTTTCTTCGTCGAAGCCCCTTTACCATCTTGAAAATCGTGTTTTCAGGAGCTGGGTATGTTTGATCAAAGCGCAAAACAAAAATTGTGGTCCTAATTCGCTGAGTAAGGGAAAACAAATTGAGTTAAATGGTATGGAAAAATTACTTACCAACTGTATTTCAACCCAGATCAATAAAAATCAGTGCCCTTTCTTTAAAGCTATATGGCCATAGGGGCATTAATCATGATTTGATGGAAACGAACATGACTAACTAAGTGAATGTTATAAATTATGAATTAGAAACGCAATAAAAGCCAGGAACTAGGGGGGCAAGTAGAGCATCCCTCCCACCCCCAGAACACCGACTCTTTATAACCTTTTAATGCCGTGTAGGTCTAGAAGAGGAAGCATAGGACGGAGTGAGGGAAGCAGAACACCGTTCTCTATCTGGAAATCCTCAATTGCCTGTAGATATAAAAAGTTTTGGTATAAATAAATTTGAAAAATATTTTACAACTCTTGTACAAATTTAAATGGGCCATTTTCATTTTATGGGACCGATATCCTTGTATTTTTTCTATTTAAAACTTAATTTTCTCAAATTGTAGTTTCTCAAAAATGTGAATTATGGATTTATGCATTAGATTTTTTAATTTGCATTTTAAATGGGTATTATTGTAAATCGGGCCCAAACCTCCTGGAAGTTTCGAGAATTATCTTGATTTTCAACTGATTTTTGATGACTTGGGGGGAAAATTCAATCTTTTTGATACTTTTCACCCAAAAAAATTCATTAATTTGCTGGACTTGGAATCATTTATTTTCCCCACTTAAGCAAATAAAACCATAAAATTTAGTTTGCAATCATTTAAAACTTCTGGGGAAAAATAATTTCAATAAGGGGGGGGGAGAGAAAGATTTTTTTTTTTCGGGAAAATATGCACCCCTGTACACCGTACACTGTACAATTCTTCAGTCAGTACAATCTACATAAGATGATAAAATCACACCTTGAGAGGATCTTGGCATGAAGTAAGCGCTTCCCTGAGATAATCCCGTCCAGGAATACCAATCTCCTCTAAACCAAACCCTCCGGAGCCGGCGGTAGGCGCCGCCAGCGCCACAGGGGCTACGGCCGGAAGTGCCGTTGCCCCGCCTGCGTTACTAGGAAACATGTAATCTGAAAAAAGTTAAATATTTATTTTTCTTTAATTTTTTAGTAAATTGTTAAAATATTAAAAATTAGACTTTTTTTAAAACGTTACCCTCTCTCTATTTTTACATGGTACAACGATTTATAACTAATTAAATAGTATTTAACTTTAGGAAGTCTAGGACCCCCCTACTCCGCGGGACGGCCCCCCTCTTACAAATTTTGTAAATGAATTTCAAGTAATTGCAATATAATTGTTAATATCTTTTTATTCAATATTTCAGGTTTAGGTAAGGTTAAGAAAGGCTAAGGATCCGGGACCGAGCGCCGCCGCCAGGACAGGCCGGGCGCCATTTATCTAACTAAAAGGGGAGGGGGCGGGGGTCAAAAAATCGTTATCTCGGAAATTACTAAAACTTCCGTTAGTCCTCGTTTTAATCCTTATTCACAAACTTAGGAATGCTGGAATTGAAGGGTTAAACGAAATCACATCGTAGGAATCCCATTAAGATCAACTAAGGGCATGAGTCGATTCGGGGTCAACCTAGTATACTATATTTGGACCCCCCCCCCCCTCCTTTCAATTTTAAACATGACCTATAATCAAACTATTATCAACAACAAAAAATATTTATTTTGTATTAATTCAGGGTCATAATAGGTCAATTCCTGGGCCGAGTGCTGCGGCCAGATCTTCAATTTCAACTATTATCAACGAAATTATTAGTATATATTTAGGGTTAGTTATGTTAAGACTGGGCCGAGCGCTGCGACTAGGACAGGCTAGGAGTGCGGGCGCTGCGGCCACGACAGGCTAGGGGGGCGAGCGCGGCGGCTACGACAGGCTAGGGGCCGAGCGCTGCGACTAGGACAGGCTAGGAGTGCGGGCGCTGCGGCCACATGACCAACTTTATCCATGTGTTAAATATGAGATACATGTACACAATTAATAGGAAGTGGGGGGCGGGTACAGAAAACGTTTTTAGGAAATTGCCTCGATTCGTTCCAACTCCCACTTACACTGTAAATACATCATTCCGGGCGAAATCCCAATTACAAACGAAAAACTTCCCTGTATGTGTATACTTGGATTAACCTGTATTACGGTTACTGCGATCAATTATCAGAACTCAGTCAATTTAAATAATATTGAAATGTCACAGAACTTTCCTACTAATCTTTCTGTCCGTTAATGCAATATTTTGAGATATAAAAACCGGCGTTAAAATAAAACAAAGTATTAGTAAAATTTTTTAGAAAAATAAAGATAGAATTTGAATTGATTCCTTTATGATTTTCGTATATAGTTTATGTCATAATAGTGTCTTAGTCGGATGAATGAGACGAAGAGTTTAGTAGCAGTTATAAAATTGTCAATATTATAAACTGATACATTTTAAATCCTGTAGATATTAAAGCTTACTGAAGTCTGGACTGGAATTAAAAATGTTTATTTTGAATGCGCTGTGCCGCGATCCGTTTCCAATCCTCTGTATAATGCTAGAAGGTTATTGATTGATTATTTTTGAAAGTAGAAGACGACTCTAACTTTTAAAATTACTTGTGTATTTTTCGACCTACACATATCCGCCATACTCCACTTCTGACTTCCGCTATACTACATATCCGACCTACTAGCACATAGTATTACAGCAGCTATATGGACTTGTGGCCGCAGCGCCCGGCTTCTGGCCTTCCTAGCCGCGGCGCTCGGCCCCCTAGCCTGTCCTAGCCGCAGCGCTCGGCCCAGAAATTGTCTTAACCTAACCCAACCCTCAAATAATACCAAAATAAACAGCCGGCATAGGTCCGATATTGCAGTAGGTGGGAAAGTTAGAAGGTCAGAAGTTCGGTAGGGGGAATGTTGCGTTATAATATAGACGATGTAACACAACCAAATTAGTTTTCCATTTCTTTCGACGCACGATTCTATTCCTCTATACAACACTTCCGACCCAGGCCCGTAGCTTGGGGGGCACATGGGCATATTCCCCCACTTTACCCCCTTAGGGGGGGGGTGGCAAACTATGAGACATAGAAGAAGGAAGAGTAAAATAAAAAAAGAAGGGAAAAAGTGGAGAAAATCGCCATAAAATCTAATTTCTTTTTACCAATATTATGCGTAAATGTTTATTGTTTCTTCAAATTAATGAAAAAATTGCAGAGTGCTTTTGAAATTAATTATTTGGTAATTTCAATTTCTATCCTGTCCTGTGAAATGTATAGTGTTTAAATGATTTTTTGGGGGTATTTTTAGAGGCTTATATTCTATTCCCTTCTTTTATTAGATTAATAATTCTAATGAACAGCAAAATGTAACATGGAGACCATTTGAAATTATATATGAAATATGGCCAGGTTTAGGAGAGGCTGTTTGTACTCATCCTCAAGCTTGCAGGGTTTTTCGAATTTTAGTTTAATGCTTGAGCTTGTCTTGATCTTTACATCATTTACTTTCCATTTATATGAAAATAAGTATTGGTTATTCGTGATTCCAAAATTTGCAGTAATTCATTAATTTATAGTTTAACTCAAATCCATTACATCTTATACCTCCATTTTGTATTTGTTTCACAATTCTAGCTTCTCAATAGCACATAATGGGATAGAAAACATAATGCAATACAGGCAAAATATCCATCTTAAATTCTTAATAAACTATAATGTGTGATAAGTTTAAAATCAAGTGTTTTAGTCTTTTGTCAATGATTTGAGTTATGGGTCTTCCGGGGATTAAAAAAAATACTAGTGTGAATCGGACATATTCCTCGTAAAATAAAAGGTCACTTGAAATTAGGGAAATGTTTATTTACATTTTACAATTACATTTTATTACACTACAATTATTTATATATACTGCAAATTTCAGAGTTCAGAGCACAATATGTTACGTTGTGCAATTCTCCATTGTTAAATTCAAGTTTAGCGTAACAGATTTTTATTCTAAAATTTTCATATTTTATAAATTAATTGATTTTCAACATCTCTCATCGTCTCTGTTTAATATTTCAGGCCAGACACATTTCTGTTTGGACACCCTCCTTGGTTTCTGGATAGGAACTTCATGACACTAGATAGATAGATAGATAGATAATTAGATAGATAGATAGATAGATAGATAAATAGATAGATAGATATAGATAGATAGATAGATAGATTAGATAGATAGATAGATAGATAGATAGATAGATAGATAGATAGATAGATAGATAGATAGATAGATTGATAGATTGATAGGGCGGCGTTAGAAAGTCAAAGTTTGTGATAAAAACTCATTTTCCATTTTTTTTGGAACATTTAATATTTACCGATTCTTCTGTATGCTCACCACTACACACCTCTTCAGGCACTTCCCTTTACAAACAATAATAAAAAATAAATTAAAAAAATCAACAGGAATAATTCTTTCCTTTTAAGAATTAAAATTATTAAAAATATAGAGATACAAGGTTAAACTAAATATTAATTTTTGCTAAAATTGGACGTTTTTATATTTGGCGGGTATCATGGTTATTCTTTATTAAAAAGAAGTTTATGATCAGAAAACATTTAACATTAGGGTTTTTTGAAACCATATTGAAACATATTCGTTTACAAGTTTATTACAAACCCAAAAAAAACATACAAGCTTTTGACTAAGATCTTGACTTTTTGCGAATTATCGTTATGATCCAAAATTCTATTTTTAAAACTTTGCTTGTCTATTTGTATCCAAAAAACGTTAAAAACCAGCCGAACCGATCGGGCCCAAATTTTGTTGATAACTCAAATGACCCTCGTGAAGGTTTATATGATTGTCAAAGATGAACAATTTGCCCGAAAAAAATGTCAACATTTTTATCTTGCACGAATTTAAAAAAAAGATCCTCGAAAAACGATTTGCAAAGAAAAATGGCTGCAGCTGAAAGAGCAACGGTTAATAACTAAAATTGTCACCAGAAAGGGGCGTCAAACTATAGTTTTCACATAAATGAGTTATTTTCTAATCTGAGATCTAACATTTCAATTTCTTACCTGCAGTTTGGAACTTGAATCGTTTCACACTCTTTTAAAGGGATCTTTTCACAATGCTCTTTTCCAGATCTTTCATTCCCGTAACCTTCTTTACAGACCTAAACATCAAGATCAAGATCAAGATCTTATATTTACTCCTTCTTTACAGACCTAAACATCAAGATCAAGATCAAGATCTTATTTACTCCTTCTTTACAGACCTAAACATCAAGATCAAGATCAAGATCTTATTTACTCCTTTAACAAATCCAGATCATGAAAAGGAACAGAACTATTAACAGAAACAAAAATAATAATAAGCTTGAAGAACATCAAGGCTCAGCTAAAAAAAGAACAAAAACTAGATTAAGAACAAAGATCAACACATGGTGACACGATCCTATGGCTATAGATAAAAACAGAAAAAAAAACGGTTAAAGATAGAGACAAAGTAAAAGAACAAGATTAAGATTAAAAACATTATCTGAACTGAAGAACGAGTAAAACTAACCTCTTTATAATGTGTTCTACATTGATGTTTCTCAGTATAATCACAATGTTCTTTGTAGATGACCTAAATTTACAGCTAGTATACAGCGTGCATCAATAAACATGGGAATTAAGAGACAAATTGAAAGTCGTCATAGATTCCTGATACATATGACATGTCAAAGAAAGTATAAAAACGGGACTGTACGTCTGACGAGCTTGTTGATAAAGTGGTCTACCACAGTTTGAACATCAAGTCCGGCCGTTTTCGATATAGGATGTTTAAACTGATATAATGCACAAAGTAAGTTCATTAAAAAATACCGCATGGATCGAAGAGGATATAAAAGTTGTCACTCAATTTCCCATGTTTATTGGGACACCCCTGTACATGGGAGGACGAAACCCCAGAATTACCGCAAAAATAAGTCTCATATCAAAAATAATCTACGGAGGGATTATTTCTTTGCCACAAACTCACATTTTCTCATCACTATATCTTTGAAACCTGATGGCGTGAACCATTGATATCACAAACTTAGATTCTTTGATTCTATTAAAATTCAAAGTTTTAATATATCCAACTTCGGGAATTGTAACGATAAAGGGATAAGAAAATCAGAAAGGAATTAAGTCCTTGTCTGCACAAACTCTGATTTTCTAATCCCTATTTCTTTGCAACCCAATGTCGTAAATCTTAGATATTTCATTCTGTGAATTCTGTTGTCGCAAATAATTTCAATTTGAAATATCAAAGGTTTACACCTTCAAGTTGCAAAGACATGGGAATTAGAAAATTAAATTTTTTGGCAAAGATTCAATTCCTTAGGATTAAAGAAGTTAAAACGTGTTTAAAGAAGTTAAAAAGTGATTTTAAAAGTTTGAACTATTTTTTCCTCTGCATCGACTGAACACAGTATCACAATTTAAAACTTAGTAAAGAAATGAAAACTATAGAACAAAATAGAAATAATATTTCTTACCTCACATTTAGGTGTATGATGCTGATCACACTTTTTCCCATATTCTGTTGTATACTCTACATCAGTATACCTGCAAGTTTACTAATAAATTTAAATATAAGTTAAAACCACAGGGTGGGGGTGGGGTGCTCCCCCCTCACAACACCAGGAAGTTTAATGCTTAAAGGGTCTGTCAGTGTTATTTCAAGTGACCCTTCATGGAAATATGGTAAGTCCCGATTCACAACGCCATCCTTATGAAAACTTTTGTCTGGTCAATTAGATATAAATTTCTATCATTTTGAAAACTGATTATTTTTAAAATTGTGGTTTCTTGCGAATTTCTGCTACAGGAAAAAAAAATTAAACACTTTTAAAACTAGGAAAACGACAATATCTTCCACAGTACTGATCCCATACCGGTTTTTAATGATGATTTCCATCTGTTGATAGAGGGTCACTTGAAATTTCGCGTACAGTCCCTTTAACTAGGGCAATGGGTCAGGCGTCTTATTAAAATGGAACTGAGTTTTTGCTACAAACTCAAATTTTCTACTCCTTATACCTTTGCAACTTGGTGGTAATTCAATCTAAGATCATAATTAATAGTTTGAAATATCTACCACAAATTGGGTTGCAAAGATATAGAGATTAGAAAATTATAGTTTGTGGCAAAAACTCAGTTCCTTTCATGACTAAAAGAGTTTAAATTTATATATTATGACGAAAGTAACTCTCTTAAATATTTACATATCTATATTCGATCTATACGAAGAAATATCAATATATATATTAATTTTTGTAAGTAATTGTTGTTTGCTGTATGTTAGTTTTTAAACCACCCATTTCTAATTAATGTTTACTTTAAGGGAAAAGCTGTTTCAGTTTAAAATAAGGTTCTAACAGAAAACACATATTGTAAAGTTTAAAATGAAAATATCTTCAGAAGACAATCTGGCTGCAAACAATTCTACTGCGGGAAAACTTGTTGGGCTTATGATAAAAATTCTTTTGATTCCAGTTAGTCCACAAGAGGATGGAACATATCAGCTGAACATTTGTTCTCTCAGATATTTCTTTAGCTGTATTTTGTGGTGTATTCTCCCAACTGTATTGACTGGATGGATCCTATATCTTGATTTTGAAATGCAAACGAATGTGATAATGACGAAAGGTTACAGCTTTGCTAATTTTGCAACCCTTGTGTTTTTGATGATAGACTCACTCCTAGCATTGCTTATTTTCTGTGTTCTACCGACTTGCGGAGCATATTTAGTGGATCAATGTGGTTCTATTCCCTTAAGGATAATTCCTGCACGAAAATTCCAAGTGTTCATGTGCACTGCTCTCAACATCTCTCAGACAGTATTATGGTTAATCACATTTCAAGGAAGGGATCTTTACCTGAATATTTTTAGCACTAGTTTTGTTCCGATACAGAAAATTTCAAGCTTAATACTTATCAATATATACACCACAAACTTTGTCTTGAAATGTCAGGATTTGAAAACAACTGTCAACTATGAAATGCTGCTTAACAAATCTAAGACCTTATCCAAGGATTACATTGGTCTCAAAAATGGTCTTGGACCAAGTTTATTATTTCACTATTCTACCTCTATGCTTGTGATCATGTATCAATGCTATATTTTGACAACAAAATGTAACATGATGATTATAACTGATATTCTGAAAGGAATCTTCATGATCTGGAATATTACAATAGTAAGCCAGGAATGTTTTGAAGAAATGCACAGTGCAAATGATGTATTGAGGTATGAGACACATTTGTTTAGAATTGAACTAGACAAAAGAATTGAAGGTCAAATTCATGGGATATTAATGATACGACATTGTGAATTTGTAGCTTTTTTGGTTTTGATTTTACGCACAAGTGTGACAATAGCTAAATTATTTGGTTAAGCATTATGAAATTTAAAACATCTTTGTTTATCTCATTTAGCTTTTCAATTAAATGAGTTAAAATAAATTCAATCTGACGTGCAATATACTGTAACGTGGCATGTCTCACAGTAAGATATAGACAGAAGGAGAAGGTAAAACTTATGCAACATTACTGGTATAACTTTGAGACCTCGTAGCTTTTACGAACAAATATGAAAAAAGCAAAATTATCCGGTTTTCTATTAGAAATTCAAAACATTTGTGTTCCTAGATAGGGGGTGTAGGACGCCACGAGCCCCGCAAAATGATCTCTAAGCCTCTGGATTTTCAGATGAGTATTTAAATGTCCTGGCGCTACGCCCCTATCCTTTAGAATCTATATTATAGAATTAATGAATAAAATTGTTTAGAAAAAATACTTAATATTTTAATAGTTATGAAATGTTTTCTGGATATTCAAAAAAACAGTGCATAATAATTCAAAGATGAAATATTTTCTTTAAAACATGTTATTTATTACTTCTATAACTAACTTTTAGGGATACCGCCAGATCATTTTAAAAACTTATAAGCGAATATAAAGACTTAGAGACCATTTTGCGGGGCTCATGGCGACCCAGCAACCCCTTCCTCGTGTTCGTCCCATTAGCTCTTCAGGAGTAATGACGGAAAAGTTATTGATTTCAAACGTACGTGCATGCTATTTACTTTAGTGTTACATGATATCTAAATATAATTTAATACTGTTTAGGATTGCAGCTGATGACTGTTTGGATCCCGGCATGAAAGAAGAACTTAAATGGAGATGGATTTTGGTTGACAGAGAATCGGAGGCAACAGCTCTAGGATTCTTTACCATCAGCAAGTCAAGCATGATTTCTGGTTTTAGTACTATACTTGGATATCTTATTATACTTATCCAGTTCAAGCTTACTGACGTAGTTACTGATCCAGTTCAAGCTTACTGACGTAGTTACTAATCCAGTTCAAGCTTACTGACGAGTAGTCACTTATCCTTTTCAAGCATGCTGACGTAGTTACTGATCCAGTTCAAGATTACTGACGAGTAGTCACTTATCCAGTTCAAGCTTACTGACGCAGTTACTTATCTAGTGCAAGCGCACTGACGAGTAGTCACTTATCCAGTTCAAGCTTACTGACGAGTAGTCACTTATCCAGTTCAAGCTTACTGACGAGTAGTCACATATCCAGTTCAAGCGAATTGGCGTAGTTACTTATCTAGTGCAAGCTTACTGACGAGTAGTCACTTATCCAGTTCAAGCTTACTGACGTAGTTACTTATCTAGTGCAAGCTTACTGACGAGTAGTCAATTATCCATTTCAAGCTTACTGACGAGTAGTCACATATCCAGTTCAAGCTTATTGGCGTAGTTACTTATCCAGTTCAAGCTTACTGACGTAGTTACTTATCCAGTTCAAGCTTACTAACGAGTAGTCACATATCCAGTTCAAGCTTACTGACGTAGTTACTTATCCAGTTCAAGCTTACTGACGAGTAGTCAATTATCCATTTCAAGCTTGCTGACGTAGTTACTTATCCAGTTCAAGCTTACTGACGAGCATTTACTTATCCAGTTCAAGCTTACTGACGAGTAGTCACTTATCCATTTCAAGCTTACTGACGTAGTTACTTATCCAGTTCAAGCTTACTGACGTAGTCACTTATCCAGTTCAAGCTTACTGACGAGTAGTTACTTATCCAGTTTAAGCTTACTGACGAGTAGTTACTTATCCAGTTCAAGCTTACTGACGAGTAGTTACTTATCCATTCCAAGCTTTCTCACGAGTAGTTACTTTTACAGTTCAAGCTTACTGACGAGAAGTTACTTATCCATTTCAAGCTTACTAACGTGTAGTTACTTATCCAGTTCAAGCTTTTTGACGAGTAGTTACTTATCCAGTTCAAGCTTACTGACGAGTAGTTACTTATCCATTTCAAGCTTTCTAACGAGTAGTTACTTATCCGGTTCAAGCTTACTGACGTAGTTACTTATCCAGTTCAAGCTTACTGACGTAGTTACTTATCCAGTTCAAGCTTACTGACGACTAGTCACATATTCAGTTCAAGCTTACTGACGACTAGTCACATATCCAGTTCAAGCTTACTGACGACTAGTCACATATCCAGTTCAAGCTTACTGACGAGTAGTTACTTATCCAGTTCAAGCTTACTGACGAGTAGTTACTTATCCATTTCAAGCTTAATAACGAGTAGTTACTTATCCGGTTCAAGCTTACCGACGTAGTTACTTATCCAGTTAAAGCTTACTGATGAGTAGTCACATATCCAGTTCAAGCGTATTGACGTAGTTACTTATCCAGTTCAAGCTTACTGACGAGTAGTCACTTATCCATTTCAAGCTTACTGACGTTGTTACTTATCCAGTTCTAGCTTACTGACGTAGTTACTTATCCAGTTCAAGCTTACTGACGTAGTTACTTATCCAGTTCAAGCTTACTGACGAGTAGTAAATTATCCAGTTCAAGCTTACTGACGAGTAGTTACTTATCCAGTTCAAGCTTACTGAAGTAGTTACTTATCCAGTTAAAGCTGTTCTACTAAATTCGCACCGGCCAGGCCCGTATCCCCGTACTGAACTTTGATTAAATTCACTTCTAAATCTATATATATATTGCTTGTTTAGATGTCAGTCCGGTTGTTTGTCTCTAATAAATGTCAAAATAGCTGAACCGATCGAGCTCAAATTTTGTGTGAGACCTCGCATGACCCCAGGAAATTACAAAAAGTTGCCTCCAAAAATTTTAGATTTTAGTAAAAATTTTAAAATTCACGAAAACAAAGTTTTAAATCTTTAATTTTTTATTATTGTTTCATCAAAGAGAATGATTGAGCAACAATATATAATAGTAATTTTAGATTAACCATTTACAACTCTTTATTTCGATCATTTATAGAATATGGAATTTCAGCCTGGGGAAGAAACAAATATTCAGAAATGAAACAAATTCTCATTTTACAGAAACGAGCAATACGATTAATTGATAACTCAAAAGCCACGTCTCATAGTGATCCTCTTTTCCTTAAGTATAAGATTTTAAAGATTAATGATCTGGTAGACTTTAACCAAGCTATATTTATGTATAAATATACACATAAACTTCTTCCTGCATCTTTTGAAAATATTTTTAAAAAGCTTGGAAACTTTGAAAGACCTCTTAACTATCAACTTGACATTCTCAAAATGAACTCATTACAGGATTTACCATCAAGTTCTCTTCTTAAGATGTGGAATAACCTGCCTCTTGACTTAAAAAAAAGCAACTCTCTAAGTATATTTAAAAATAGACTACTAAATTCTCTTTTTGAAAATTATAGGACAATGTGTTATAAACCGAATTACTATTCATGTAAAACTAATTATATGTTTTATTATGCTTTGATATTTGTTGTGTACATGTCAGAAAATTACTTTTAACTCTAGTTATTCTAATTAATGTATAAACTATTTTGCATAAGATAAATTCGCACCCTGATCTCTAATAGTTCTCCTTAAATCTATTTAATTTAAATGTGTTGTTATCGTTATTAAAATTAGGTGGAAAAAATAATCAAAACAGCCAAGAGCTATTTTCCACCTTATTGCTTTATACTTGTACTGTTAATATAATCATTAATTTGTAATTGTAAACTCGTTCTGTACACAGCTCAGATACATGTATTTTAGCAATAAACTTTATCTTATCTTATCTTACAATTAAAAGTTGAAATAGAATACGCGTGCGAAGGTTTTTAAAGGTTTTTAACTAAAATAACAAAATTTACCCCTTAAGGAATTTTAAAAAAAAGTATTAAATTATTGAACACTTTGAAGATACTAAATTAAGTTCTTGTCTAGGGGATTAATCTAGGTCGGTGAAACGATCAGGTCCAAATTTTTGAAATTTTTGAAAATTCATCAATTTAAACAGAAAATTTTATAACCATTAAAATTGGCGACTTTCAGTGCACAACAGTTAAAAGCTAAAATTTTTAGAAAATGGGACGTTTCATATAATTAAAATAGGGATGGATCGTTTTCACTTTTAACTTTAAAATAAATAGGGATGGATCGTTTTCACTTTTAACTTTAAAATAAATAGGGATGGATCGTTTTCACTTTTAACTTTAAAATAAAAAAACGCAGATGTTTTTTTTTAGTTTTACTTCGTTGTTTCGTTTACGAAGGTCGTTTATTTAATAACGACTGTTAACGTTACTAACAACCCTTAGTTACCAACCATTATAACTACTATTAACAACAGATGGTAATTATGCCGCTAAAAATTCCCTTAGTCTTTTTCTTTTATAGATTCTATTTTTTTTAAAATGGATAAAATGTATACCTGTAACATTTTGAACATTCTCTATTCTGAACCAGCCGTGGAACTAAATATGCGCTTAACTGAAACAAGTTAACTTTTATTTGTCTCAAACTCATGCAAAGGTCATCTATTGGTCGGGCAAAATCTATTCGGTTTAAAGTTTAAAGTTTAAACTTTTTAAAAATGCGGGAAAAACAAGCTATAAAATCAGGAAAAGGAGTTGAGTTTTTTTCCACAAACTCCAATCACTTTATTTTTGCAACTGGATCCTGTAAACCTTTTATACTTCAAACTTGGAATATTTAATCTGTCAGAATTCTTAGTTTGAAATGGCAAAGGTCTACAAGAACGGGTTGCAAAGATATAGGGATTAGAAAATCAGAGTTTGTGGCAAAAACTTAACTCCTTTACGAAATTTGTTATTGTTATCATTTTAAAGTTAAGTTTTTTTTTACGAACTAACCTAATAGAATTGTTAAAACCTTAAGTGTAAAAAAAATTTTAACCGTTTTTGATTGCGTCATTAGATAAGAAATTTTTATGTGGATAATTTTGCTGTAGAAAATAACGAACATTTGTTAAAAATAGAGACGAATCTGGCATTAATACAAAGTTTTTATTTGTATTTAAATATGCATATAAAATGTTACCCATGCAAAAGATGAGACTGCAAAGCCGACTTAAACATAAAAAAATGACAATTCCAAAAGTAAAGTACGTCGTCTGTCTTGAATATATGTTTTAATGGTATTTTTATTAATTTGCCCCTGAAAGAAACAAGCATAAAGTTGCCTTGTAGGGAATCATGAATATATAAAAAACAATCAGTATAATTTCTGTACAGTCGTCTTTGTTGGTAACCCTGAATGTCACATTTTTGTGCGTCCTCAAAAATCCCTCCGGCCTTAAGTTCTTAATCAATTGAAGTCCAAAACTTGAAACCAACTTTATTTTCCCGGGATGGAGAACCAGCCGGGGCAAAAAAGAAACAATCTTTTTAAAGCATTAACTCGGATGAGCAAATCAAATAAAAATAACAGGGGGTTTTGTGGAAATTTAAAAACTCGATGAAAAGAAATCAATTTTTAAAAACAAAAACATCTATTTTTTAGCTATTCATACCAGGCCTGCAGGGATCCCATTGGTTTCCTCAAAAAATTCCGCCAATTTGGTCCATGAGGTATATAAGTGAAAAGCTTTTTAATATAAATATGAATAATCACAATATTCAATTTTTCTTACCTTGCACTTTCTATCTGGAACTTTCCTGTACAGAATCAAATTGATATTAAAAATTAAAGAAAATATTTAAAACAAACCAAACTAAAGCTTGGAAAATGTTGAAATTAAAAAATATGACATTTCCTGCAAGCTTGTTCCGGAACTGGTTTACAAACAGGAACCTAAACAAACATGGTGTCAATCATCAATTAGATCCCGGTTGGGCTATTTTTGTCTAAAATACAAGGGGGGGGGGGAGGCATGATTTTGTCCTTAGAGATGATATTGGATAGTGTGATACACGTCGCTAGTCCAACTTTTCAATGCCTAATTAAGTTTAAATATTTTGAACAATTTTTTATTGGTTTTTCCTCAATTTCGAAGGTTTTTCAAATAAGTAAATTTTAGATCTGTCGCTAAGATAAAAAGGGACTATTTAAGATTCTTAATTTATAAATTTTATTTAATAAAAAGTCAGGGACTTTTTTAGATTTTTTTAAAACTAGGGTTTCCATTCGCAAAACTTTTGCGCAATTTTTGCGGAACGAATTTTTCTTTCTTTGCGCATCAGTTTTCCGCGAAAAAAAACAACAATTTGCGCAATCATTCGGAAAAGTCATTTCGTGCAAAATTGCCCAATTTCGCTTTTGCGAAACTCAAGTTTTGCGCAACTCCGCAATTTTTAAAATATTAAATGGTTGGTGACGGTGTGTGTTTCTTAGAATTCAATTCTGGAAAAATCTTGTTTTGGAATGTCTTCCTATTGGTCACTTTTACATAATTGACCAATGATAGTTAAGAAGAGTTCAAATCTCACAATTTTCTCGACAATTTTAGTTTTGGACATGCATATTTCCTAAAAGTGGATTTTTCAGAAATTGGTTACTTTCTTGCATTATTTTAGATGAGATTTTAGAAATTTGATTAAAAAGATTTAAGAACATAATGCATACTTGATTAGGCAAAGCTTTTAAGGGTCACTTGAAATTATTTAATAGGATTAAAATATTGCCAAGTTTTACACTCTCTAATTTCTATTTTATTAATTTTGGTCCCTTAATTTAAACATTTTGTAACTGGAAGTATAACCAATTGAGTGAGTATAATCATTATCATACTCGTATGTTAATATTTTTTATGTATGGAATAAATCTTCAGTTGTTCAATTCTAAGCTTAGAATATCAATTTTTGACAATTTGCCTAAAAAGTTACATTTTGCGTAAAACTTGCGGTTTTGCGTAAATTGCGCAAAACTAAAATTTCGTTTCATTTCTTTTCGCAAAAAATATTTCCAGTTTTGCGCAAATTGCGCAAAAAAATAGCGCAAAACTCATTGCGTTTTATGCGCAAAAATAGCGCGAAAGTTCGAAAAAGTTCGCAAAAAAAAAAATTCGCGCGAAAATAGCGCAAATTTTGCGTTTAAGATTTAGCCATTTCGTGGAAACCCTATTTAAAACTGCTTTCGCAATTTTGTTCTCAATTCTGACATCAGGGGGTTGGAAACTTGGAATGGGATTAATGAAACAGTAATATCTTAATGATAATTGTAAATCAATTAAAAAATAACGTAATTTGAGTTGACATACACTAGTGTAAGCTGTAGAGTTGACATACACTAGTATAAGCTGTAGAGTTGACATACACACACTAGTGTAAGCTGTAGAGTTGACATACAGACACAGTGTAAGCTGTAGAATTGACATACATTGGTGTAAGCTGTAGAGTTGTAGGATCAACTTTTACTCCTTCAGGGTAAGTGTTAAAGTCCAGGGTATCTTTTTTATCAAAACCTTATGAAAATAATTTTTTCCCTCTGTTGTTAAAATGATTTATTCTTTATAAACTATAACATCTATATTGAGTAGTTTACATTTTTTCAGAAGGTTTTCGATGTAGACAATTCCACGTTAAACTAAGCTAGTGGGGTGCAGGTCAAATAGGCTTATGATAGTCTAGCCACGCAATCTAAGTTGAAACCGAGCTGACATATAGGATAGGGTCGGGCCGGTACATGCCCCGCGTCACAAGGGGTCGGTCCGGTTCGAATTCAAATTGACCCTACTGTCCACCGTGATTACAAGACATGCTAGATATATAAAAAGAACCTGAAGCTTTTGACAATGTTGATCTGGAACATCATGGCAGTTTGGAACTTCAAGGGTTTGACAAACTTGTTCGGCCACTGGAGAGCATTTAGGCCCAGTCACCTAATGAATAAGGATGGTCACGCATTACTAATTCATTCCAAATTAGCCTCTTTTGTTTACGTTTTTTTTGCAAAAACAATCAAAATAAAAATATAAATTTATAAACACATGTGAAGAGCATAAAATAAATAAACACAAGCTCTAATTTTCTAATTCCTGTATATGTAATTCTGTGAACATCAGGTTTCAAAGATGCAAGGGTTATAAAATTGGAGTTTGTGGCAATTAATTTACTTCTTTGGAAATCTTTGCACTGTAAGTTTAAAATAAATTGGGATTTCAGAATAGATTATATAACATTGAATAGGAATCCAGCTTTTAAATAGATTTATAAATTTGAATAGGAATCCAGCTTTTAAATAGATTTATAAATTTGAATAGGAATCCAATAAAATAAAAATGAAATTGTACCTCTCTGTATTGTTCCTGGCAATGTTCCTTAGGCTCTGACTTACATTCCTTTCTAACATTCGATGATATATATAAATATCATAATTATATATAATTGTGATATATAAATATTATATATATATATACAAAGGATCAGCCCAAAAAACATTTTATCAATAGGCTAATTCAAACAGTCTCTAGACTCTATTAGTCCTCAAACAAGAGAAATACTGTACATATGTATGTATATGAATACTGTACATATGTATGTACATGAATACTGTACATATGTATGTACATGAATACTGTACATATGTATGTACATGAATGGAACAGATTTTAATTTTTCGACAAATTATATAAATATATACATTGACCATAAAATGTAATATAATAATCAATCTTTATTGAAATACATTTATTATTATTATTATTATTATTATATACAAAATTAAATATATATATAATTTTATAATATAAAAAACATTAGATAATAAATAATATATATTTAACATTAGATAGTATATAATATTTTCATATCCTTGGATAATATAATAACTATCTTCTGATATAAGCTTAGAAAGTTTTCTAGTGTTTTTTATAACTTTAGTTTTAATTTGATATATACAGAATTAGTCAAAAATAAATGGGAGTAGCGTTCTTGTTTTACAAAACAATAACAGGGTAAACGTGTGTCAGGATAAACATATTAAAATTTAATGATTAAAATGGAACATAGAAAAAAAATCCCAAAAAAACAATTTTTTGTAATATTTTTTTTTTATAAAATTCTATTGCAGAAAATTTTTATTTTATTTTTCAATATAATTTTATGAAACTTTGAAATATAATAGAGTTGGGATGTTCTAATCTAAAAAAACCATTTTCACAAAGTTTTTATTGTTGTTTTGGTTTCATTTTATTTCATTATTTTTCCACATAAAACATGAAACCTGCAAATATTCGTAAGTTGTTTTGTAAAACAACATTCATCCCGTATTTAACTCAACCTGTAGTTTTTTAGTTAAAAGAAAGAACAAAGGCAACATTGAACAATTCCAAAGTGTTTTAGTTATATTGGTATAAAAACAAATAATCAAAATAACTAATTAAGCCTTTAAACTTAGTTTGATGAAAATTACATCACGAGGATGAATTTCTTGCAATAGAATTTTGTATAAATCCATAATGAAACAAACATTTTCTAATCCCTACTTTTTTGTTACCCTTTGTCGTAAAGACTTTTAATAACCAACTATAAATTAAGTTCAATTAAAATAGTCTATATTTGAAATAATAAAGGTGTCCACTATCAGGTTGCAAAGATATTGGGATAAGAAAATTTTCATTTGTAGTAAAAAACTTTTCATATTAAAAGAATAATGAACGTTTAAACCCTTCTAAACAATACCTGTAGTAGGTTTCACATTCTTCTTTTTCTTCATATTGACAACGTTGTGTGTACTAAATTAATATATGGAGGAGCATTAATAATGTCGTCTTAGCTAGGAAAATATTTTATTCCACCCAATGAAATTAAATTTTGTTTCACGAATTATGTTTCAGTAAGAACAGTATCAAATCAAAATCCGCAGTTGAAGACGTCAAAATCAATTGCCTTAATACAGCAAGGATAATGATCTATGCAGCAATCTTTTGGTGTAAAATAACTCTTTCATTTAATAAATAATTACTATATAATGGATCAATATTCAATACTACATCTGAGAGACGATGGTGTAGATTTCGACAATATAAAAAATGTAGTTTTATCCTTGATCCTTCCAATTTATGTTATAAAAAAAGCAGATGTACATGGAACCCAATTATACAAGATAAAAGATTGAATGAATTCCGTACAGTTTTCTCTAAAGACTCATCCTTTGTAGGATAAAACCACAAATGGGCCATTTTCGATTTTTTCTTAAATAATAACTCATTTTAAATTTAAAAAAAAGATATTTTTAGAATTGGTTCAGAGATAGGTGGATCAGACGTCATGTATGGCACTTAATTTTAGACATTCTTACGACAAGGAATATCAGAAATGTGCATGTAAAAAAGAACATACAGGGTTACCCACAAAATAATGAGACTTCATAGACGACTGTACGAAATTCTGTGTTTAAACTTCTTTCTTTCTTTACAAAATCATTAAATAAGCCAGTCAAAGACCGCATTCAAGATATAAAACTTAATCTAAACATGGGATTGTCATAACTAAGTTTCAAGTCGTCTTCACAGTCTCATCCTTAGCTTTGTGGGTAACCCGGTATCTTACCTGGGTCCAGAGTGCATTCTATAAGTGCGAAATTTTGCATCTTAGTTTTTACAAAAAAAAAATTTCCATATTATGTTTTTTGTTTAGTTTTTACCTTTACATCACAAACATCTCGATAAAAGTTTTCACAGTGTTCTCGTTCCTCTGTTTCACACTTTAAAGGGAGTATTTTAAATTCCAAATTTTTTTTTAATATTTGATGTGAAGAATTAAAGGAACGTCTCAAATGATTTGAAGAATCTTTTCAAGAAAACTATGGAAAAATATCTTAATTTTGTAAATATAAATAGAAAAATATCTTAATTTTGTAAATATAAATAGAAAAATATCTTAATTTTGTAAATATAAATAGGAAAAATATCCTAATTTTGTAAATATAAATAAAAAAAATATCCTAATTTTTGAAATATAAATAGGAAAAATATCCTAATTTTGTAAATATAAATAGAAAAAATATCCTAATTTTGTTAATATAAATAGAAAAAATATCCTAATTTTGTAAATATAAGTAGGAAAAATATCTTAATTTTGTAAATATAAATAGGAAAAATATCTTAATTTTGTAAATATAAATCAAGAAATATAGTTACCCGTCTTGTCATATAATCTCTTTAAACAATTCATAATCAATCTTTGGGTATATAAAATTATATATTAATTGATTCAATGGTTAATTAATTAATGACAAATTTGATTAATTAATAACAGATTTAATTAATTAATAACCGATTTAATTAATTAAAAACAAATTTGATTAATTGATATCAGATTTGATTAATTAATTTATCAGATTTGATTATAAATAACAGATTTAATTTATTGATAACATATTTGATTAATTGATAACAGATTTTATTGACAAATAACAGATTTGATTTATTGATAACAGATTTAATTAATTAATAACAGATTTAATTAATTAATGACAGATTTGATTATTTGAAAATAGATTTGATTAATTGTTAACTTATTTAAATTCAAAAAATGATTGATTGATAAAATAATTGTAAAATTAATAAACAATTAATTAATCGATTAAATAATTGATTACAATTTGGATTAAGTATTAGATAGTTAATTAATTCATCTGAATTAAATGATTAATTGAGTAGGAGAATAATTAATTGATTGATTAATTGATTGATTGATTGATTGATTAATTGATTAATTGATAAATTGATTAATTAATTGATTAATTGATTAATTGATTAATTGATTAATTGATTAATTGATTAATTGATTAATTGATTGATTGAATTGTTTGCCTGCAAGTGCAACCGCAGAATATATCCATGAGGGAATTGCCTCCGAAATTCAATCCCTGAAATAAACGCTGAGAGATGAGGAGATCGTCTTTAACACCAAAAAGTCGAATTTATTTTTTAATTCCAGACTAGCCATTAACATAGAGAATAGAATATATATTAGAGGGGAATTTACTAGAAAAAAGTGTAAAACGGCCATTTTGTTGTACTGTTTCCATACTGCAGGTGTACTTCACATATTTATGCTATATAACCTTTTAGGCCCTGGAATATCATTTCATAGAAAATCTAAAATTATTGTTAAAAGAAAACCAAATTATGAAATAGGCTGGTTTCATAATTGATCAATGATCATTTCACATAGACTCTATGCCTTTCACTTTACAAACGATGATTTTCCGTTATAACTATAAATCAAATGATGTTTTTATTTACCTGATTCATTATAAAGTTTATTTAACAGCTTTAAAAAATTCGAAATTTAAATGAATAGTGTAGGGAACATATTGTATTAATGTACTCTACTGCATATATTTTGTGAACATTTACATGATTTGTACACTTTGAACTCCCTTTCAGGCTGAAAGGGACTGAAAAAATTCATACCGAGAGATTCTCTAAATTCCCTTCTAATATGTATTCTATTCTCTATGAGTTCCCACATTGTGTCCCGAGTCAAGCGGTATAGTCGTTTTTCAAGTTTAATGCCATTGCCATGGTTTCAAACAAAAACGCAGATATATGTATTTATACATTTAGAAGAATAAATTGAAGACTACGTTTTAATTGAATCATCAAAACACCTGAGGCATGGCTGAGGCAGCCATGTCCATATCCATTTCATTTTCTCCATCCATATACAAGTTATTGTAGCCGAAATAGTCACTTTCATTTCGACAAAAAACTACAGGCAGCCATAATAAGTTTATAAACAAATGCATTATCATATATTATTTAGTATCTGAAAAATAAACAATTCTAAAATTTTAAAATTCAAAAAAAATATATTTTGTTTGTTTGGGTGTTTGTTTGTTTGTTTTGGTGTTTGTTTGTTTGTTTGTGTAGGTTGGATGCCAGGTTTCAACTGAAGAATATTTAATAGTTTCTCTCTTCAAAACTTAATGACAAATTTAATGAAGTATTTCCAAGAAGATTTCTAGAAATTAAGATTTCCCTGGATTTCAAGATATGTATATTATTAGGGTACAGCTAAACTTGAAATATGTAAAAACGTTATATCTTACTATAAACTTGGGAACCCAGCGTTGCCCATGTTGTCAAAGTTAGTCCCACCGTTTACCCGCCCTTTGTCGTACTTAATACGGTTTTAGATATTTTACCCGTTAATAATGAACCCAATCAACTTAAAATCTCAAAACCAAGCTAAGAACATTCCCGTGGCTGTTCCGAGTTCCTCAATCAAAATTTGAGGCAAATTGGTCTATGGGTTACTGATTTATGATCGGACAAACAAACAGACAGACAGACAGACACCCAAACAGAGATTACAATTTTTTATATATAGATCCACCACTTTGCTTTTGTAAAATTGAAATCTAAGATGAATTATAATACTTATTATTACTTGAATATTTATTAAAACCAAAATTTGAAGTTTTATCAATTCGATGCAAGCAAACTATAATTATAACACTAACCTACTTTATGTTTTTTTAATGATTTTTGACTTTTTTTTGGTTTGTTCTCTAATTCCTTAAATTGTTCATAATAAAAAGTATTATAATCAAATTTAAATGTTTTCGAAAAAATTAGATTTAAACAAAGTGCTTGAAATTTATTCTTTTGGCTCGTTGTGTATTTCAGAATGCCTACTTTGAGAATTAAGACATTTTCGATAATAAACCATTTTTAAAATGTTTTTAGAATTAGATTTGGCTGAAGAATATCTCGAATGATGTAATATGCACGTTTCATACAATTTTTACTCTACCCTATATATATATGTTTTTTCATTGTAATTTCGTTTGAACGTGTTACACGGTTACACTGGATAATGTCACGGACGAAAATGAAGCGAGAGTTGTTGTGCAAGGTAAAACTGAGAAATGTTGAAAGGGGAAAATGAAAAATTGTAGAAACTTGATCAAATGATGGAAACCGTGTTCATGAAAAGTAATGTTCTAAATCTAATCATGTTATTTTCTATTTTTGTATGAAACATTTTGCAGACGAAAGTACGCTATTAGACAAAACTAAAGAATGAAAAGTTACAGCTTAAATTTTAAGTTTCAGCTCTTGATTTAAATAAAACCTATACTTTAAGCTACAGATTAAATATATAACTCGCCGAAATCGACGAGTTAAATATCTAATATAGTTTAATTTGTCTATTAATCAAAAATGATTCTCTTAAAAAGGAGGCAAATATTTTTATTGTGGCGTTTGCGTAGCTATATATATTATCTATATAGTAAAGCTCTTCTAAAGATATGTTATATAGTTATAAATGGCCAAACCCCGGGGGTAATGAAGGCTAAAAATAAAGATTTATTCAAAATTTATTTTTCAAAATTCAATATTTCTTAAATTTTTACGGGCAACGCCCTGGCACTTCAGCAATCAACCCATATAGCTAGTCTGGGATTAAATTTAGACCTTGAATTCATTATTTTACAGAACTTAAAAAGACTCGTGCATTCCTAAATTTGTAGTTTTGGACTCTGTAAGATTTGCAAAGATTGAAATATAATTGAAACCCTGAAAATGCTGAGGGCTGGGGGGGGGGGGGGCTATTTACGCCCACTCCTCAAGTGTTTTGCTCTGGTCCCTCTCCCCCCTTCCGTTTATTTTATTAAAAAAGAGACCAATTGGGACAGGTTTCAAACATGAAAAATCAAAGCGTTTTTTGAAAGTTTTAGAAAGAATCAATGTTAATTTTTCTCTACTTATCTATTTATCATTTTATTTTATCGGTTTTAATTTTCAAATAATTTCTGAGGAAATAAATATGGCCACCTCATGTTTATTACATCCTTTTAACTCGGCCACAGTGAAGTATAAAACCACTTAATTGTAGCTATTAAAGTTTCCCCCAGTTTCCCCGTCAATTCTTTTCAAGTTCTCCCCCCCTCCTTCCCCCTTCCAGGAAATTCCCCCTACTCCACATCCTTCTTATACCTTCTCAGGAAATTAAAGAGCATGAAACAAAACATGGAAAATTAAGGAATTAGTAATTAAGATTTACAACATCTTAATGGGACTGTTACCGAATTTCAATTTCTTCTCATTTTAAATATATTTTTTATAAAAATGATAAGGTGTTCTTTTAGCAAGTTGTTTTAATGATAAAAAAATTTTGAAAAGTCATGAAAACAATTCATTAAAAAACAAAAAAAGATCGCTAGTTAACTAAAGTTTCAGAAAGAGTAAATATTTACATTTAGTTTATAGCACCGATTTAAGGATTTATCTCTAATTGGATAATGAGATAGATAGAAAGATAGATGTTACCGCCATGCAATTTCTATAATTGGTTCAGAATAGACACCAAACACATGACTGAACCCTGATTGGATCAGGCGCTAATGGACTTGGCATACAGGAGTGATGCATTTTTATAGTTTAATGGTAAACTAGATTTCTATTTTTTTATTTACAAAAATCTTTGGTTTACCACTTGAGACTTAATAGTTCAAATAAATATTATTTGTTGCATCCAGCTTTTCGAGGAGACCTTTTCATTCCTTTTGTTGTAAATAGGCATTGGAGAAGTTACGAGGCTAACTTAGTTA